AATCGGAATCTCAAAATCTCATATCTCTTTAACAGAATTCTCTAAATATTTAAATCCCATAAATATGAAAGATCTCATATTTCCTCAGGCCCCGCAGACCCACGAACCCCGAAAAATATATAACCCACAAACCCTATAAATCCCGCAGATACTACAAACACAATAATAGCAGAACCCAACGTAAATTTTAAATATAAAGAACGCATCAAAAATATTAAGAATATTCTTGACCGGGAAATCGCTTAAATCTTCGTTCAGACCCCATGAACCATAAACCCCGCGAACCGTAGACCCCACAAAACCCCTCCGACCACAGACCCAGAAACTCCACAGACTCCTAAAACCTCTCAGGCTCCGCAACCCACCAGAGAACATACAGACCGCAGATCCCACAAACCCTCAGCATACCGCAGACCCCACAAACCCAATACACAAAACCCCTCAGAACGCAGACCCCAGAAACTCTACAAACACCCCAAAACCCTGCTGTTCCGCAGATCCCACAAACCCTCAGCACCCCCACAGACCCCACAAACGCAATAGCAGAACGCAACGAAATGGGCACAAACGTCGCATCACAGTGTCCATGCAATCCAAGCCGGGAGGGGGGGCGGGGGGGGGCCTCCCAAAATGTTCGGAACATTTACAGCCTCTAGCTTCTCGAAGGGGCTCTAACTACTCGCAACATTTAGAGCCCCTAGACGGCCCGGAACGCGAGTGACACCGGCGTTTTATTGGAATGTATAACACATATCAGGAAACGTACTTAAGAAAAACTACGTGACAGCATACTCAACAATAATGCTGATTCTATGAGACGATACATAAGACCCATATCGCAGTATACAAGACACTCAAGACACACCACACACACACACACACCTCACAACATAGCTGACAGCACATAGCACACAATACGTATCACGCACAACACAACACCCAACACACGCACTGTACCCACAACACCGCGCACACTCCTCTGGAAGGCTCTAGAGGGCTCATCCATTCGTTTATCACCATCCATAGACATACCGATGTGGGGGTTATCCGGTCCTCTGTTTTATATTTTCTGAACTCTTCTACGAAATTTTGACATATATATACAGTATATACACATATATCAACTAAATCTCATTCCGATATCTTAAATTTCTATGATGTTTTTGAACATCTTTATCTTAAAACATATTTTCGGAATCTTTAGTTTCGAGAAATTGCTTCCCGACTAGCCATAGATACTGTAATCAAAGCGTCTGGTGACGTGTTCCCGGTCCCCCCCAACAATTGCAATAGTATGATCTAGTCGGAGGCCAGGGGAGCTGGGTGTGCAGAGAAGGGTCGGGGTTGTTAGAGCTGCATCTGAGGGCCAAGAATGCACACAAGCGCTACTAGTACCTACACAAGCCATAAACCGTGCAACGCAGCGCAGTACCGCGTGCTCCTGTTGATATTAGCCTTAACCTGAACTTTAAACCCCACACCCATCCCTAAACCTCGCCTAAATGCAGGCTCTAAATCGTCTACAACCCAAAGCCTCCCTGAGCCCTTGTCGGCTCGAAGCCTTTCACCTTTTCACCCTAAGCCCTCGACTCCAAAGCTCAACCACACCACGGGAGAAGGAGGGACCCCAGACCCCACCCCACAAGGGGGGGGGGGGGCCACCTGGACCATGGAGGGGAGGGAGGCGGGGGGGCCCGCGGAGCTCGTGACCATAGATTCCGGAATGTTGGAATGTGTTGAGCATTACTATAAACCACCACGGCGGTGGATCTTGGGAGGGCCAGCATACATACATATATATATATATATGTATGTATGTATATACATATGGGTGGTTGTCAAAATTGGGGTCCCGTTTTGGCTCATTATTATAATACGGCACCTAATATTTAGGGTACCCAAAAAGTGACCCTAATTTTGACAACCGCCCATATATATATGTGTATATATATATATATATATATATGTATTCTTACACGCATGTATTACAAACATGTGTATATATCTGCGAATATATATATATATATATATATATATATATGTATATATACATATATATATATATACTATTTACATTTCTCTCTCTCTCTCTCTCTCTCTCTCTCTTTTAATCTCGTTGAATTGAAAATTTCTCTATAGATTTTTCGAACTAAATACTCCTTGCCCATGTCGTCTGCCGTCTTGCGCATCATCTATTCTTGCGGCCAGAACCTCGATCATATCAATCTTTGGCACCATCATCTCATCATCTGGAACAAAGTGGCTTATAAGTCAAGTCTGGGCCTGAGGAGTGGCTCGCGAAGACACTTCTGCAAAATGTCCAGTTGATCTTGCAGGTATTCAATGAGCTGCGTACATGACCCTTCGCAATGCCGAGGCCTGCACTCCAACAGTTTGCCATGCACATCCAAAACCAACCTGTGCAAAGCAAACGTTTAAACGCGCTAAGCGAGCTGCGAGAGCAGGGCCTACAACTGGAGTTGCAACATGGCAGCGAATCGCTGGCATGCCAAACGGTCTGCAACGCTAAGCCGCTACGCAGTCAGGCGGCCTATTCCATGCTCGCGCATCCACGAAAGCTGCAAGAAGCGAGCCCTGGTGGCTGAACCTGACATCGCTGCCAGCGAGCCAGGAAGATTATTCAGACGCTCTCGTCAAGCAGTCAAGCCTGGGAGATACTTCAGACTCTCCCAGCAGTGTGCTTTTGTACTGCGCCAATGTGCAAAGTTCCTAGGCCAAGCTCGGCAGTGGGACTGCTCGAAAGTTTGGCTTCCGGATGACACGGCCTCGGAACGACAAGTCTGCTAGAAATCCATCGGATTAGAGAGACGAGGTGCCACTGAGTCACTAGACCCACTGCATTGCACTTTCAGTTACTAAGACCTGCACCCGCAAATAGAAAGCAATCTGGTTGGTCGACATTTCGTGCATCCTGGCTGTCGCGAAACCACAACTCGTGCATCGACTACAAACTCTTGCATGCTTTCCACAGCGCTTCTGCTCGGCAAGGTCGGCAGGAGTGCTTTAGCATCAAGGCGCCCGTGATTCCGGACAGCGCCGATCCCATAATGAACTGTCTGACCCGCGACATGGCCTGCCAGATGCAGAACATGCACATGCGCACTTCCCGAATTTCAACTGGGCCGTGTGCACAACATCCGGACACTGCACAAGCAGCAAGAGACATCCGATCTGGACGTGGCTGGTTGAATTCCTTTCACGTGCCTCTGCAATATCTGGCTTGAGGCAGGGCAGGCAGGGCACACAGAGGTCGTCTGTGAGCTTTGCTGCAGATCCGTCGAGCTTGGGTTCTTGTCAGAGTCTTTATCGTTTGCGGCTGGGTCTTGGAACATTGGCTGGTGATGATGTCAGATGTTGATGGTGCTTGCTGCTTTGCACAACCCATGGCCTGTCTTTCAACCGAGATCGAGACAGGCAACTAGGAACTGATCGCAGGCTGGAAAGCATGTTCAGAACTTGTCTTATGGTCTGAGTGAGTCGACGTACATCAAAGCATGGCAACTTCGACTCATCTATTCTTAAATGTCCAACAAGTCATGTGAAGACCCTCTTTTTCACGGGAGGTGCAGCACCACGGCTGTCCGGGCTTTGGGTTTCCAGGAATTCGCTCTAAAGGAGGTCCCCTTGGAGCGACATCAGCAGGACGACCATGGACGAGCTCAAGACTCAAGCCTGGCAAGTGTACCGTGGGATATCTGCCGGATCTTCCCAGAAAATCAAAGCGCCTTCTTTGGCGGGGCGAGGCTTGGAGGTTTCTCCACGCCGCGGGCCACTGCAAGTCACTTCAAGTAGTACAAGCACGAAAAAGAAAGCCATCTGACTCGCTATGCAAGTCAGGCGCTCACTGGCTAGCCCCGGCGGGGACAGCATCGTCGAAAGCACCTTGGGAGGGGGAGCTGAACAAAACGGAAGTGTCATGAGTAGGAGGCCCCGTGGCTGTGGTACGTCATGGTGAGACTGAGTTGGCTCAGGTTCGACGCCCGGTGGTCATCAAGCATTTTGCTGGGACATGGTTTGGAGTTCGAGATGCTCCAGCAAGCTTCAGTACTGCTAATTGCTTTCGATAAACAAGCCGTTGACAGCACAAGATTCTGACCCAGGCTGACATGGCCAGAGTACAAGGCATCGCACTTCACACTTTTTACAGATGCTCTGCAAGAGCTGCGTGCTGAGTGAAAGCCATCCTGAGCCGTATGGCTCTGGAGGGGAACTGAAAGATCATCCAGCATAGGACGCTGGGGAGGGTGGCGGTCCTGTGACAGCCTTGAAAGGAACATTACGGCCATTCACGCCTCCCCGTCATTTACGTGTAACACACTAGCCATGACCCAGGCTGACATGGCCAGAGTACAAGGCATCGCACTTCACACTTTTTACAGATGCTCTGCAAGAGCTGCGTGCTGAGTGAAAGCCATCCTGAGCCGTATGGCTCTGGAGGGGAACTGAAAGATCATCCAGCATGCTCCATCCTCCCCACATCCGCTGACGTGTAGCGCGCTTTCAGGGAGGAGGCGATGGCAGCTCAGAGCCTCCGCGGGTAGGGCTGCGCTCGGCGAGTCAGCGAGTCGCCTGACTCGTCACATCCCGCTAATCGAATGTGGCGCCGCCCTGAAGCTGAGCATCGATTGTCCTTGGGAGCGCAGCAGCTGCACACCAGTTGAATCCAAGGTGCCGGGTGAGCGAGCAAGGTGGTGGGCCTCTGCTAGGGCTCACGATACTGACAATAGTCGAGCCTCAACCACGAGGACGTTGCTGCTAATGACTGTATCGGATTCGTCAGCCATATCCTCGAGGAGCGGGGGTTCTCCAGGACCCATGGAATTTGGAATTTCTGGCACCACTGAATGATTTGGCAGGTCACGGTGAGCAGAGTGTTCGCATCGCGAACTTGCTTCTGGTCTTTACGCGAGAGGTGGGGACGACCCCACAGGAAGTTGCGTCATCCCTCATCGGAGGCGGTCCACTACCATCGAGCTTGCGGGCCCGAGACCAGGAGGCGTAGGGCATGCCAAACCAGACCAGAGCGATGTTCTGCTCACGGAGAAAGCTAAAAAGCTTTTGCTGCACCGAAATACGAAGGATATCACATTGGGGCCCATACGCAATGTCCAAGGCAGCACAGTTGAACCCCTTTCACCATGACATGCCCTGGACAGGCGTGCACTTCCCGAGAAGATCTCAACGACCCAGGGCGATTGGGGATTCACTGCCGAAAAGAAAAGTTTGCCATCGTCCGGCCAAGAGATTTTTCGGCTGCCAGGGCATTGGTTTGAACAGAAGCGGGGAGATTCTGGAACTCTAGCGCCAACATGCTGTGAGCCTCGTAGCGTTTGAGGCTGGAGTCGCTTGCCCACCTGCCTCGTAGTTTGACTTCCAAGGCGGAGCGCAGGTTGAGGAGTCTGTCGTGACTCGGGCCCGAGTGTCGCAACTGGTAGAGAACAGCATGGTGGCGAGGTAACCCGCTTCGTTGAAGGGCCTGTTGCCATTGATCGTACAGGGTCGGGTAATCGATGCTGAAGAAGGATTGGCCTTTGCGCATCCTTGCCAAACGACTTACCATCAGGCCCAAGAACGGCAGGACTGACGAGTCCAGAAGAATGCACTCGTCGGCCAAGCCCGTTTTGCTCGACTCCATGCGTTCTGATGGGCATAGGTTCAGCGAGTAGTGGCGCACCGTTTTGGTCGGCTTGACAAGATCCGCCACTGCGAGGTCCAGGGCTTCCCCCGGGCGTAAATAGGCGCTGAACATGAGCAGCACCAACAGAGCCGCTTCTCCCATGCCGAGCAGAAGCATGTTGGTGACAATCAGGGGGATGACCGCAAAAGGGATTGGAGGTCGAGTCTTTCCTGGATCCAGATTTGCCCAACCCTTCAAGCATCTTTTTGATCTTCCCAGTGTCGTCGGAGAGGAAAAGCCGGACCGAGCATCCAGAATTGCTGCGAAAGTCTTGTTTCCTTGACGTCTGCTCCGGCCTCGAACAAATTGTTGAGAAAGATGCTCAAACACTCGTCCAACCTCACCTCGGAGACTTCTCTGATGTCCTTGATTCGAGAGGCCTCCATGAACCTCCTGGTTCGATTGGCATAATCCGTGGCGACTGAACCCGAAACTGCTGCCTGCTCCAGGAAGGTCTGGCCCTTGAAGCGGGGAGCCTCGGAGCCATTCACCAGTCGCTGCCTTTTCGATGAGCGCTCCGTCATAGAGCCCTACGCACGAGCATGAAGTGAACTGCGTGCCCGACCAACTTCTCGACAGCCTTGCCATTGACCCGGGGACGTCGACCAAGCCACCTGAATGCAGCAATGATACGACCGACTTTCTCTGGGATTGGAGTGACTGTTCCTGCATTGCCGTCAATGAAGAAGCCGAGTGAGGCTGCCGAGGAGCATGCGTCCAACTCTTCATGAACACCAAAACCGAGTGACCTCAATCGGGCCACGGCGCCGTCTTTGGCTTGTTGCACTCTTTCCGGGTTGGTGCCAGCGATATTCAAGTTATCTGCGTATGCGATTACAAGCGGCTGGCCATCACGAAGAGTAGGAGCCGGACGATCGGCAACCCGAAGTCGATCTTCGGAGAGACCCGAGCCAATGAGCGCCTGGGTCTGATGCAGTCTTTGGGCCCAATACATGGCCCAGCTCCAGCCCATCGGAACCACTCTAAAGTAGGGGAAGACAGAACCTTCACGATCATGCCGAGGCCTCAACTTTGGGTCGACATCCCAAACGTCCAAGGCCTCGGCGGGGATTGCACGGAGGCAGAAGTAGGTTTGCAGCTGCTCGGGCATCTCAAGAGAGTAAAAGTAGTCTGTGATGTCACTCTGAGCGATGTACAGCTTCTGGTCGCCCTCGAGCTCCACTTGTGCCCAGGATGAGCCTGCAGCCAGTGACATCGCCGGGGGGTCCTTGAATCGTTGATTGATGCCCCGACAATCCAAGACAAGCCTGAGCTTCCCAGACTTCTTTGCAACGAAGAAGGGCGTCATCAAATCCTTCGGTTGGTCGGTGAAGCCAATCATACCGCCTAGATACAAGGTGTGTACAAACTGGACGTACTTAGCGGGGTCATGTTTGAGCACCACATCCATGTACGGCTTCACCAATCTGCCACACTCAACCTTCTGGCCCCAAGCCTCGGGGCTGATCATCATGTTTCCCACCGGGTCCTTCAAAATTTCATGACCGAAAGGGTCCACCAGATCCTGGAGCGGGGGAGGGCTAGATCCCACCCGAGGCAGGGACACAAGGTCAGAGTTGAACGGACGGACAGTAGTGTGGGCCTCCTCGGAGTACGAGAGGCAAGAGTGCAGAAGCGATGATGCCGCTGCACGCTCACTATACATAGGAATCTTTGACGAAATGTGGTCACACTGCTGGAGCACTTGTCGCTGTGCCTCGTACTGAGCAGCATTGGGACCCTGATTGCAACATGCATTTGACCCCGCCTGGCAATACATCTCATTGAGGCAGCCCAAAACATTGTTGGCCGCAACCACCTTGCGATTGAACTTGGCAGCGCGCCGTCTCTGAGAAGTACTGGAATACACTCCCGAGCACCGTCTCAGAGGGATCATGGGCATAGGAAAGGTCTCTTTGCCTGTCTGTCCCACCAAAACCAAAAGAGCCTCCAGAGAACGTGCCAGCTGAAGGGTGATTCGGAGAATTGGCCAAGCCGGAAGAGCTTGGCATGATGAGGCCGTCGACGTTCTTCCGGGCGGTCGTGGCCTCAACGGCCGCCAGCACATTGCTCATGACCCTTTGCCGCCTCCACCCTCGTTGTCCTCGCCGGGCTTTCGAGGGTTTCGGCGGCGAAGATCGGCTTCCTCCCTAGCTTTCCGGGCCTCCTTCGCGATGGCAGCCTCATTCTTGAGCTCGGCCGCAACGTGGGCCGCAAGGCTGGAGTCCACGCCTTGTCCTGAGCGGCGATACTTCCAGCCCATCATGATGTCGGCCGACGAATAGTCCGGAGCAGAGGGCGAGATAGGATGTGCCTCCCTGATCACCTGCATCCTGCGCACCAAGAGTTCTGCAGATTGTAAGCAAGGCGCGCTGAGCTGGTCGATGGAGATCATGGCCTCCAGAATGCGCGATAGGCACTCGTGTTCAAACACCGACCGGTCCCCCTTCGAGAGCTCCGAGGATCTCACCCAGAACTCATGAAATGTCGTGGGTGTGAAGTTCTGATCCCGCATCATCTTGAGAACGTTGAGGAGGGTCGAAGGTCCCTGTAGCTGCGGTCCCCCCCCTTGCGGGGTGGTGTCATGAAGCATCGAAATGGCAACGTTGAATTCTCTGCGCCGAATGCCTTGCGCATCGAATTGGACCGGAAGAACCCGCAGATCATCGAACTTTGCCGCTGCGACCTGATCGGCCACAACCTTCTTCAACGCAATCACTCCGCCACCTGCCGGGATCAAAGCATGGTCCCCCATCACAACGTGTCCCACCGGGAGGGGACCCGGGTCTACAGCAATGACATCCCCTTTCTTGGCCCTCCATCTTCAAGAGCGATCCAGGTGGTTGCTCCCGGTGCTGCAGGAGCTGCCAGCCCTGCGACAGCAGGCATGGCACCAGCTTGGATTTGGACCAATCCAGGGGCGGCTCCCGGTACAGGAGCTGGAGGAACACCGACCGCAGCAGGAGCAGGAAGACCTCGTCGTGCCAACTCGGCCTGGGCTTCCTGACGGCCCAGCCTGAGTAGGTCCCCATATTGCCGCGCATCCATTGGAGCAAACGCATACACCTGCCGGACTGGCACCTGCCTTGGCACTCGACCGTCAGGGGCATGGTAGAACCTGGAGAAATCGGGATTGTTCGAAGAGAGGATCTCCGGATAAATGTCCCTGTCCGGCGTCACGATCATCCATTCATCATGGCCAAGATCTGCAGCCAGCAACCGAGTATGAAAAACTCCTGGGTCTGCATGATACTGGACATATGCCACATCTCCAGGATTCATCCTATTGATCTAGCACTTGGACCCCTTGGATGCTCCGAACACTCCTTTTCCAGGTCTGCCCTTAAGGGACAACGAGAGCTCTCTCCCGCCGCCCTCCGACTGTTGATAAGATACCTTCAGTACTAAGGCCAGGTTCGTCCCGACCAGCAGCAGCCCAAGAACTAGGACGAACCACCAAACACCAGTAGGCGGATCACTCCTGTCAGATGTTGTGGTTCCCGCACAGTGGCACTGACAAACGAAAGGTTCGGTACGAGGATTCGCGGAAGGTCTTGACCACCAGCCTAACGCGATCCCAGCAACAGCCAGGGCACCATGCGTGGCGTCCATCTACCTTATCCTGTGACAGCCTTGAGAGGAAGATTACGGCCATTCACGCCTCCCCGTCATTTACGTGTAACACACTAGCCATGACGACTGCGCCACCTGCTAGCTGCAGTACTGCGAATCACACTGTGCAAGCATCTTATCACAAGTCCACGCGCGTTGCTCGAAAGCATCTGAGAGAATGACCTTACCAAACGACCGCATGTCGTCTCTGGCTGGTTCGCAGCGATGCTGCCGTCCACCTGCACCGGTCAAACGCAAGAAGCCTCTATCCTGGCCATCGCAAAAGGTGACAGCTCGGCCTCGGCTACAGACGCACATTACGAAGCAAGGCGCCTGCGACAACCAGGAGCCTTGGTCCGCAGGCGTGTAATCAGCCCTTCATTATAACGAAAGATGCACATTCTGCAGAAGGACAAACTGCTCAGCTTCTGCAACAGCACAGCACGTCACAGCTGCAAAAGGCCCCAGTTCTTAGAGCAGCCGTAGCTGTGGCACAGAGCACCCTGGCGAATGCAGCAAAGGAGCCTTCAGCACCACGGCCATCAGCGGCACGCACTGCACCATCCGCGCCCAGGGCACAGAGCTCAGGTCGCACGCTGCGGACTGTCTGGCCTTTGGAATTCTATTCTACATTCTGCCATTCCGCGGAGGCGGAGTGAGACACGGCTTGAAGTGGTTCCGCAATGTGACTGCGTCTCGCACATCCTCTTGTCACCACCCTCCCACCCGACCACCAACGTACGAATGCACGCATGCACAGGCACGGACGCAAACTGCGTAGCGCTTGTTCAGCTTATTGCTCATCAATAATTGTGCTCAGGGTCGTGACGGAAGTGATCTAGGCCCGTCCGCTTGTCTTGTCTTTTGCACGAACTTGCACAGCGAACTTTCGGTACGCTAGGGCCCCCAGCCATCTGAAATCAAGCAATCAACAATCAACATCAGTCGTGGTCAAAACCCGTCTTGGCACCAATGTCCTTGAACTCCACCCGCGAGTACTGACAGAGCTCGTGATTCAAGCCACAAATCCCATAATTCTCTGGGGCCCGGACGCCGAGCACACCCGAAAAGCCGACGCCAGCAACGCAATCCAAGGAGGCCACCAAGGGCCGCATTGGAGTTGGCAACGAGGGAGAATCTGACACCGCTCAAAAGCTCTGAGACTTCTGCACCCTATGACCATCTATGACCCATGAGCCCTAGACAAGGAACTTGCCCGTGAAGGCTTCGGTCATCGGGTGTCCAGGCTGAATTTAGGTTCTACGCGAAGCTCTGGCTCGTGTCAGTGTGGCCAATTGGATCCAAGCTGCATTGACCTCCGCACCTGCCGCAGATTTCCGGCTAAACTCGTTGCACGAGATTTGTAAGTGGCACGGCTCTGCGCCTGTGGCAGATAGGCTCGCGACAGGCTGTCCAAGACAGAGGACACAGAGCCAACAAGGTGTCGCCCACCTCCTCGAGCCATTGGATCAGGTTGCTACTTTGCTGCATTACTGGGCCTCCTGAAAGCCTTTCTACTGAAAGGTTACCATGTGCCATGCCTGGCACAGACAAGATTGCGACTGAGCAGCTTCCAACGAGCCAGGGTTGTGCAGCTACCCGCACCTGCAATGGAAACAGTCTCCGACAGCTTATGTAGGAGAAGCCATGTGATCCGAAAGCCTTCGCTCCCTCCACCACCAGCGTCTCGGTCCCGAGGCCCAAGAATTCCACCTCAGAGTTTGTCAAGCTCTGCAAGAGCTGGAGCCATGCAGAGGACATGCCATCGCGCAGCTCTCCGTTCTTGCAAATCCTGGCAAACAGCAAAGGATCCAAAAAAAACTCAGCTGAAGAGCAGCTACACCAACTTGATTGGCCAAGACGCCGCAGAGCGAAGAGCGGCAGGAAGGAACGTGGCCTGTACACGACTCAGCACCACTCCGCTGCCCTCAACGAATTTGTTGCGACTTGCCACAGTGTGCCTCGCCTCGGGAAGGTAGAGCGAGCACCAAACTTTGAGGCTCACCGCCTCACTCGTGCAGATTGAAACTTGTTCATGCCATGCTCCGATGCAGCCAATCTTTACAAACGATGCTTCGGTATGCAAAGTCCTCATGTTTAATTTGCACAAGGCAGAGCGCTTGGCCCAACTCATGCCATGTCCGGCCTCGACACTGAACTGCTCCAATTGCAATCGCTGCCCGCTTTTCGGAGGCAATGCTGGCAGCTCCTGGAACAGCAAGCAAGGCAGCTCTGTTGCTGTCCTCTCGCATCTTATTTTCACAGGTATTGGCGCTTGTGATCAAGAATGTGAGGCCAACTTCTCTGCACAAACGGGCCTCCGTTTTCTCGAGAATTCCAAACTCGATCACACATACTAACACATGTAATGGTGATGAACAGATTGGCTTCGGTGGCTGGCCTTTCCAACTCGCGCAGCCACCTCCTGCACGCTTTGGCAGTGTCCAGACGGTATCAAGGGCAATGAAGGGTCGAGTACAAGATGTAACACAAGACATTCCCTGTTTTGACAGAAAGGGACCTCGCACATCGAAAAAAAAGCTGCGGATACAGCTCTTCTAAAAGAAGCTTCGCCTAAAACTGATTCGCATGGCAGAGATTTAGGGCTGCCTGCGGGCCCAGTCCGCGGGGTCCAGAACAAGCCTGGTCCAGGAAGCGGCCGACCTCCTGCAGATTGCTGCATGGGCTGAGCTAGCGCAGAACAGCGGTCATGTGTCCTGCCAGACCGCTTCTGTCACAGTGACCTGCAAGACGATTGAGACTCATGGGAGAGAGACCCTAGCCTGACTCTGCATGAAGTTCAAGCATTATTGGAGACGCACTTTCTTCTTCCGTCTTCGGAATGGGAGACGTGAGTGCCTTTTCTGAGGTGCTGGATAGCTTGCTATCTGTTTCCTCACCGTGAACAACAGGCCGTGAGAGACAAAAAGCCTGCTAGATTTTCTCGTTCCAGCATCCAGCAGCTATTAACAACCTGAAACTTTCCTCCTCACCCTTGCCTCTGCCGGACCCAAACCGAGGCGACAAAGGCCCAGGCGCCTGGCATGGCATGGTGTAGGCAGTGTGAGCCAACTTACACAAAAGGAATCAGACATCAAGCTGCGTAATCGACCCGAAGCAGACCTTTGCCCCATTGAAGCTTCCACCAATCCGAAGCCCTGAAGCCGCTATGGACCCTATCGGACCCTGAGCCGACATAAGCCGTTAAGAATCAATCATCATGGGCACCACTCCGCGGGGTCGCTGCATGCACGGCGCAGGGAGCTCCAGCCTTTGTCGCGGTGTTTCTTGTTTCGCCGATCCGAGGCGGAATCATGAAGTCGGTCGCATCCGGAATGCCACGGAATGGGTCCGAGCGATTTTGCATGAGAAAGATATCTTCACGAGCTCCCTGCCCCTTCCCTACCGGCAATCCCCTGCAACCGGTCCGCTGAGACTGTCCAAAAACTGAAACACTGACATTCCCTTTCTTCGTGCATGCTGTTGCTGTCTCACACAGACACACACACACACACTGACATGTTCACAAGGATCAGCTGCAGAAAGAGCCGGTGGAAATGCTGCAACTCGGTGATATCTCGGGATATCTCGGGAATCCACTGCCCGCTTGTGCCCGACGAGTCGATGGGCAAAACATGGCAAAACACTGAACACATCTGAACACTAACATTCCGTATTCTTCCAAGACCCACTCAAGCACCGAGGAGCGCAGGAAGGGCAGCGCTCTTCGGCGCGGTATTGAGGCCAGGAGAACCCGTGGTTGGGGATCCCGAGCCTGCCAATCACTCGCCAAGTCGAAAGCGCCAAACCCCCATGGTGCGTCGCATTCTGTGGTGACCACCACTTCACTAGCCGAACCGCCATGATGGCTTTGCTTCAGCAAATCAGTGCCTCCTTCTGTGTAGCAAGCAGAAGCAATCTGGTTTGTCGGTCAAGCGAAGCTGAAATCGACGACACATCCATCTCCCAGGGACAAGACCTTCTTTGGGCGCAGGTCCACTTGCACGGCGTCGATGCGGACTTTGAACTGGCAGGTTGGGCTGAGCTTGGCATTCAGGAGTGAGTGTGTCACTCGATCTCAAGATATTTCAGGTTAAAGACAATTTACACGGGCTGGTCATTCGAATCTCAAAGCCTCTTCGCTGTCGTTGGCGAATCGTCGCAACCGCACCTTCGACAGATTTGGCTTGTAGGCTTGCAGGGCTCCGAATACCATTCCCACCTGGAAACCGTCCAAGGCGACAGAGATCGTCTCGGGGCTGTAACCCATCAACAGACCCTGAGCGCACGATTCTCTGAGGCATTTACAACAATTTATACAGTCTGCAAACTGGACATGTTTCCGGTGGAAACGGCATTTTGCCGCGGGAGATTGCCAGCGAGTTCCCAGCAGGCTGTAAGTCTTTGCTGTTTGCGCCCTGAGCCGCCTGAGCCCTACGCCTCCTGCAGGCCAGGAGCTTCCGCCAAAGAGAGCGTAAGGCCCCCAAGCCTGGGCGGAAGACGCTACAAGCACCAGCATCTACAAGCACTTCTGAGAGCGGCCTCAAATCCTTTCCCAACCTCTCACTCGCCGTCTGGTAGCTGCAACTCATGGAGCGTCTCGGACTGCGCAGCCTCCTGAAGATGATAGTGCTGAAATATAAACAGGTGCCAGTGAGCACCCCCGACCTGCCTCCTCCACTCGTCCATGGCCCAGAGACACACAGACAGTCGCAACATGCTCCTGACCAGTGTAGCTCTGGCGCGAATCATGAAGCACTGCAGCACATCATCCAACAAGGAAGGACAACATCTCACTTGAACGTGGGGCAGAGTCAGCGCCCCGAGTACAAATCCTATCGAACGCTGGTTGTTTAGGGGTAGTGAGGGTAGTGTCGTTAGCACGACCACGTCTCTTACAAGATGTGGACGGCGCTGCTACCCTGCAGCGCATGAGTTCGTGTTGCTGGTCGATCAGCAACTGTACATACTTCTTCCTTGCAAGCCTTGCAGCAGAGTGCAGCTTGAGATTTTGTGCCTTGACGCTGACATCCACTCGCGCTGGCACGCCCAGTGACGAATTGGCAGGAATAGCCTGAACCATGAAACACCATGAAACAATGCACCGAGCCAACAGCCGGGCCAGGCAGGTGTCAGCCGATCGGTGCGCTCTCCACCGCTCCAAGCATCTTCGGGCTCTACTCTCGACTCCCAATGCAGTGCCTGGGTGTTGTTCCGGCCGAGACCTATGGTGACCCGTGCTATGCCAGGCCTTAGCTTCAAGGCTCCTCACTACGGGATGATTCTGATGCCGTGATGACCAGCAGAGATCTCATGACAACGTAGCCCAAGGCACGGAATTACTGTGGCGAGGAGCTCTCTGCAGGATCACACACTGTCTTCACCAAAAATGCCATGGAACGGTCTTGGCTCCGAGCCCGGGTCTCTGCAGCACCAGGACGACAGAGGGCGAGCTTTCAAATGGCCTGAATCTGGTGCAGGCTTCCAAGAGCACAAGTCTCTGTGACGAGCTTGCAGCATGTCATTCAAACACAACTGAAAGCCTGAAAGCCTCATTCTCATGCGTATTCCACAGGGTTCACGGCAGGAAAAAATGTAGAAGCAGATGCTGTAAGGTCAATGGGCTTGCTGCCACCCGGTCACTCTGCCACGCCGAAATAAATGCTGCCGCCGCTGCGCGCCACATCGGCCGGGGCCGTGTCAACATAAGCCTGTGCTTGTGTGCTTTGCCCGCATGACTATAAACAAATTCAAACACTTTGCAGCAGGCACAGCAGTCCACGCAACTTCAAGCAAGTCGGTTTTTCATGGTTTTCCCGCACTGCTGAAAGATTAGGGGGCTGGTCAGGGTAGGAAGAGCCATGATGATGCTACCCTCTTGAGCATTTCGTGATTCCAAAGCTCCTTTGCGAAGATTAGCCTTGTTCCTATGATATGGTAGGTCATCTAAGAAAGTTTGGCCTCCAAACCCTCCTCACAGGTCAGCCGGTGGCAGCGCTCCCGGCCGCCTACGGATACGGCGACAGCCCCAAAGGCCTGCGGGCCAGCCAAGGAATTGACAACTGCGACCCGATGCTTTCTACGACACCTTTGCATGTCATTCGATCTGGCAGGACAATGCAGGCCTCATCGACGGCTACCCGGCATGGTTCCGGGCGGGCGGAGGAGGGCAATGACATGGCGGCACTGCAGCCTGTGGACATAGACCAAGGCTCTGTCTGTGTTCAACCGAGTCATCTCAGAACATCTTGGCAGTATCTGGCAGTGCGCGTTGAAGCAAAACCAGGAGGGATGAAGGGAGCAGCCAGACTTTCAGAATCTGTCAGCAAGCCTGCAGCAGCACGATCGACTGCGAAGGGAGGCGAAATCAGCAGCTCGTCACGCTGTGAATTGACCAGGACCTGTCCACGCATGGCTTCATCAAGTTTTCGAGGACGGCAAATGCCCCGGCCTAGATCACTGAACGTGTAAACGACATCTCTGCTGCCTTGCCTGTAACTTTGGCCGCTCGGGCGCGGCGTCTCTGGCCACCGGGAGCAGTAGACTGCGGCTGCCTCATAAGCACAGACGATGTCAGGCTGGAACTCGGAGAAAGCAGTCTCTCTGCCTTGCCAACCTTGGGTCTGCTCTGAAGTCACGTCCGAGCTCTGCACTTTCTTCGCTTAGCTCCGTAGGCGCGCGCAACGCTTTGCCTGTTCCGGGTTTTGCAGTAACGAAGAGCGGCCAAACGTCGCACCAGCATGTGGGAAATCTTACTCGAAAGACTCATGATTCCCAATGTTTCACGGCTCATCGGGTCAAGCAGGCCATGACACAGGCAGATGAGCGGCTGAAGCATTCGTGCATGGTCAGTACTGCACGGGTTGGTCGAAGCTCTGGACATGACGCTGGGCATGCCAACGAATAATTAAAGGGCCTCCATGATATTCTATAACAGAAAATAAACCAGCCGGCATAATAATGGGTGAGCAATGGTTAAGCTGGCTGGATGGCTCAGTCACAACGTACGGTGAGAGCCAAGTAGCGCTGGCCGGCATTGAGCCACTCGGCTTGGGCAGGCGCCTGTCAGCTGCTTCTTTGCTTGCGTGCTTGTAGCTAATTTGGCGAAGGACTTTCCCGGAGTGTGCATGTCTTGGCTGAAGCAAGGAGGCCAAGTTTCAGTCTTGGCTCGGAGTCTTCGGGTTGCATACCACTGCACCATGCCACACAGCCCAGCCTGCCCACACCATAAAAAACCAACCTCGCAGAGTCAGTGGATTGGAAACAAGAGGCTTACCTACATGGCGAAACTCATGCGGCTGACTCATGCGCACTAGATCAGAGCAAGGCCACAAAAGATGAACACGTTCTCAGAAGCGACAGATCACCTGCCCCGAACAGTCAAGCCCTCCAACTCAGCCTGCTGTGGCGAGCAGTTGAAGACAACGAGCGCTGGCACCAGAGAGATAAGGCTGCAATCCTCAGCGGGCATCTGCAAGTTAGCTGCTAGTTTCTGCGAATCAGCTTTCTTGAGTATCCGGTGTCTGCACTGGGCGGCTTGAGCAGCACAAGCACAACCTCTCTTGCAAATGCGCAGCTCTTGATTCACGATGTCACTTGCCGAAAATAGCTCAGGGAGAGTACATGCTCGGCACTGAGCCGGCGACCAGCCCGAAGGTCATGGAGAGCGCAATGCCCTCTTCACGTAGGACGCAGTCCTGCGATCGGAAATCTAAGCGGATTCAACGGTGTCTTCCAGGTCGAGGGCCAAGGCTGATAGCAGCTTTGCTTCACGAGCTTTGCGAAAGGTGTGCTGAATATAAATGGCTCGTCCCGCGCCTGCAGAATAAGACGCCGCTTGACCCGAAAGCTGCACGTGCCGTCTGCACATGAACGCTTGAACGGAAGCACTTTGATGTTCCAGCCCTCTTAGCGAATCACCAAGTAGCTGCAACGCTTCAGATCCTCAACCGCGTGTCCGTAGAGTCGGCAAACAAGTCTTGCTTGCATACACCGTGCAAATAGGCTGCACACCTCTCCGCTGGGGAAGAACACATCTTCGAAGCCACCAACGCCTCGCCAAACCGAGCCGGTGGACAGAAATGCTACAGTCTACATAGACAGACATGCCTTTGCTTGAGTGCACCTCGCTTGGCACTTGACACACATTACCAGAAAGCTCGGCTCGGATTGATGTAAAGGAGTTCTAAATCTAAAGGTATGACAATGCGCCTGGTAGCTGGACTTTGACACAGTCGCGTCCGAAGGCTAAGGAGATGGTGGAGCTGAGATCCGGATCTGCAAGCCAAAGAGCCAAGCACAAGAGAAATAGCAAAATGATTGACCCTGTGTCGCAATCCTGCTTTCCAGCCCTGCGCCAACGCTTGCCTGGACACCTGCATGGCCTAGCACAGCGGCGCCTGATCCACGGAGGCCGCAGACCCTCGCGGGACGTCAGTTCGGCACGCAGTTGGCCAGTTCGGAAGATGCATGTACACAATCCTCCTACCAGATGGCCTCTGCAGGCAGCTTTGTGCCTGCCATAACGCAAGTGGGGCTCGCGTGAACAGTGCCATGTCGCAGCACTGCAGACATCTGAACGGCATGTCGAGCAGTCGGCGACTGCTCACTGCAACTGCGTCTGTTTCGGATCGGCTGCCTCTGCAGCATCGGCCTCGCAGAAAGAGATGCTGCTACCACTGGTCCGCAAGACATAGAAATCTTCCTTGTTTCTCTGCGTGCTGTGTGCTGAAGAAGGCTTCTAAACTTCGAAACTCAGCCTGAATCCGCACATACCTGACCGTGTGGCGGCTGGATACGCTTCACCAAATCACAGAATGAGCTGGGCACCTCGTGATGAGGATGGGCCAGAAGTGTCGCACCTGAAGAAAATTGCAAGCACCATCAGAGCTGATCCGAAAAGCCTTCCGAAAACAGCTCTCTTGAGTTTTTCTCTGGCTGCTGTCAGATTGCACAGAGCAACGCTCTCTCCAACGGACGGAGCCAGGCCGGGTGCCTGCTCCGGTCAGATGCGGCAGCGCCGATCCATCCTCGCAGTTTCAGAGAAGGATTCTCTCACTTTGCTCCTCCTTTTTCCTCTTCTTCCGACCCGGCGGGTCCCATATGCCGAAAGCCACGGTAGTAACTTCTAGTAACTTGCAACATAGTATTTGACTTCCTCACAAGAGCGAGCGGACATCACATATCCAAGCAGTTGCCCAAAAGAAGTATGGCCTGTAGAATTGTGCACTCGCTTGCATCTTAAGGGCATGTCGCTGTACGTTGCATTCACTCATCCACCCTGTCCGGCAGCGTGAGCTGGATGGGCAGGGTTGTGCTGTTCACAAACCTGACGGCATCTTTCGCGGATGGAGGAGCACCTTCTGACACTTGGTATTGCTCTGTCGACTGTAGAACTCAAGTTTGGTCCCAGGAAGAGCACCATCGTCGAGCTCCGATCACCACTTCCTGGGGCGAAGCACTGTTTAGACTGTAGACCCTCTAGACAGTAAAATACCCCAAGCCCGGCCCTAAAGTCTTCACTTGGCCCATGCAGCAACGAATGAATCGCTGACCAGCGTCGGTTTCAGGTGCACTTCGTCGCGCGAGCAGCGGGAAAATTGCTCGAGCCCAGCGCCTGGGACAAAGGTCCAAGCAAGTCAAGTGACGAGTGTCAGCCCTTTCGGTGCCGGCGTCTCATCGGGCTGCTCAAGTCGATGCACAGGTCCGGTAGATCACCCTCTCTTACAGATCCTTCTGAATGGAACAGATGGAGAGGGGAACTGCGCTCCTTCCGCAAGCTCTCCCCTGCAAGTCTTCGCTTCTCCCACGCTAAGGCCGGCACACCTCTAACACTTCTTCCGCCGGAAGGTGACACGATCGCACCTCTCGTTGACTCGTGGCCATACAAGCCTCTTATGGTCTCTAGTTGTGCAGAGGGGTCCGAGCTGCCTCAAAAGAAGACGAAGACCACCGCTGCACGGGCCTGGATTCATCACAGATGGTCGGCGGGATTTTGTAGCAACTGATTTAGCGACTTAGCACCGGTAACTGTGGAGGGCTTCCACACAGATCGACAGCTGCTTTTTTGAGTTCGGTGTAGTCTCAACGATGATCTCCAAAGTCAGGTCCCGGCAACTCACCTTGTTGCCTGGCACTTTGGCAGAAATATCCCTCACTGGCACAATTCAGGATTTCCGTCATGCTCAAGGGCGGGATATATGCGAGAATGTCAGAAGGACCACAAGATGTCCGGCGACGTCTGCACTTCTAACAGATGCATGATGCTCTGGCCCACCAAGCGAGACAGTTCGCACATCGGTAAGCGCAGTGGCAGACTCCATTCCGACCGCTCGTTCCCGAGACCAAGCAAAGCCACTGACAGCCTGCATCAGTGACAAGTAAAGCAGCTCCTCTAGCGCTGTTGTAGGCAACTCCAAGTACTTAGCATCTGGTAGTCCTGATCAAGAACTGACAGATGGTTTACCGATCCTGCGGGCCCTGGAGCAAATCGCGCAGCTCACATCTCTGCCCACTCTGCAACTGCACCCTACTTGTAGCAGCAAAGAAGCCCCAACTTGCCCGCGAACAACACTACACTAGTTCTTGACAAATCGCAAACTGACAACGAAAGACCGTCGCTTATCTCCTGGTCTTGAACATGCTTCAATGACGTCCTGTGCACTAGCATAGGCATCATCCAGACTGGCAAGACAACGGCACAAAAACCAAACTTGTGCTTACCGGCATTCCTGTTGGTTATCGGATTGCTCAGTGCAGCACCTCGTCGGTGCCATAGGCAACTCGAAGATGGGGAGTGGCTCTCGGGGGCCGAGCTGCAGCACCTTGCACTTTGCTGTCGCTTCGACCGGTGACACACTGCCCTCACGGACAAGAAGAATTTTTCAGGTGGTACTACCAAACACGACAAACTACATCTGCAAGCGTGCAAGAGCCTCTCTGATCTTCACAGCACGAACTTAGAGCGCTCCGCCTGGCAACCTCGACCCGGCAGCGCTGCTGCACGGAGACAGCGAAAGCCGACACCCGCCTCGAAAAGCACGAACCCTGTGAAAGGGTAAGCTCGTCACGCACCACACTCGTGACCCAACATTCAAAATCGTCTAACGTCCAAGCACACCAGCACTCTTGTCGGCAGCTGGCAAGGCCACTCCGAATGGAACTTGTGCTGCACACGTGCGGCCTCTGTACGACGCAGCTCCACGGCATTCGTGCCCTGTCAGTCGCCAGCACACACGTGATAATCTGGCATTGCCCATCCAATGGAAACGTCAACCTGCATGTAGAGCTTGGAGTCTTGAGAGTATTGAATATGGCCACGGTGGGAACCATTTGAGCGCATACATGAGAATACGTCAGCTCAAGCGGTGTGACAGGTGACATAGCGATGCTACGCAAACGAGCGCAGGTCACCGATACTCTAGGAACAGGCTTGCGTCCCGGGTCCAGATGCCGACTGGGCAAACTAAGCTACTCCTGCTGCACGACCAAGATGGTGCTGCCTGTGGTAGGACGATGTGCCGGAGAGAGCCATCCAGTTCCCACCAAAGGAAGCCGTTCCTTGCAACGGGTGGCTAAGCCACGTAGATTCGCAGGCATGCTGCTAAGATTATGCAGTTTGCCGAATGAAAGCAACAATCGAGGGGCCACGCCCGAATACGCTCAAGCCCGGCTCCATGCAAACAGCAGTCACTCCCGAACATAGAAGACTCGCACATAGTCCTGTCACGTCCTGACTTGACAGATGCAGACCCGATCAAAAAATATTTAGTTCCCTTGAATGGCCACAGATGCATGACTTCCCTGAGCCGCCGGCGCGTCTGCACGGACCGGACAGAGCTCCTCAGCGCAACTGCACTTCGTTTTCGAGGCGATGAGTTGCTTCATCCAGCTCCCATAGTATTTTAGCTCGGAAGAACGGTGGACCTGCAGCAAACATTGCAAAACAACGCCTGCCAAACCATTCCAAGCCTTGTGCTCTCGCAGACCCGCTTGCTCTCCCTTCATTGAGATTCATTCGGCACGAGTCACGACGCCGCCGCCGCCCAGCTCAGCATCTGCAGCATCCCCCGCAGCAGCGATGGCCACTGCCAGGAAACCACCCAACCCATCGAAAATTTTCGCCAGGGCACCTGGGCAATGTAGGAAGCTCTTCTGCCCAGATCCATCCCCAGCAACCCCTGTCACCAGGAACCAAAACCTGAGCCTCCCGTTGCTAGATCGTCGCAGCACAAGTCTTGCATTCTACGTCAGATGCCGAAGTGCCGATGCGCACTGCTCCCGCTGGAACGGTCTCCAGCTCCTGCTGCGAGCTACCACGGTTCGGTTCGAGATTCAAGGCTTCTTGGCTCCAGCTTTGCTCTTCTTCCTCTGTAGCATAGCAGTACCATGCTCGCATCGCATCACCACGTTCGGAGTCCTCACGGTGAAGCTCTGGCTCGAAACTGAGTAAGAGCCTCAGCTGAGCTTCCACTCCTACAATACAGTAAGTTAGGGCATTTCAGAGACAAGGAACCTGACAGCGCAATCACAAAGTTCAAGAATCTCGTGGGTCTCTCCTGACAAGTGGCGGCACGGGGCAGCCGTTGCGAAGTCGCAGCGGCGGCTCTGCACAAAGCGTCTGCCGGCCGCCTTCCTCCGAAACTCGCCGCAGTCAGCAATACAGGGGGACCTCTTGGCCCAAGCAAACTGCACTCTGAGTACATAGTACGATAAAGAACCCTGCAATGTCTCAAGAGTTCCATCTCGATCAGCATCCTGCAGAACTATGGTAGAACCATATACACAAGTACCACACCGCTGAAAATGAAACTCTGTCATTCTCAGACTACGAATGGGTCAAGGAGGCAAGCCTAAAGACTTTAGTTTCGATCTACAGCAGTTTGACACTTGATCAGCTTGTGGTAACTCGACCATGGCCCCTTGATACATCATGTCAGGATTCGGAACTCGGGTGTTGCATGTTGCACCTCGACGAGACGGAATCTCAAGGGACAGCTGCCGGAGACATTTTGGCAGCGCCGAAACCTAGCACTTCATGGACGAACACGATGCTGAAGTGCAACATGCAATTTTCTGTGGAAAGCATTCGGGAAACGCGACCGCTTGATATCGTATTTTAGTCTGCAAATGCATGCTGGCATCCACAGCTCCAGTGCAGACAAGCAACAATTCCCCGTCCCCCTGTCCGGAATCTGTGCTGGTAACCTGCCGCAAAAGTAACGCATGGTTGGTAGCTTGAACTGGAATGGGCCCTTGCAACTCACATAGATTTATCCAGCGACTCAGGCGAAGAACGTTGTTTTTTGTGCCCTGATTGCAAAATGACAGCTTACGTTCGGCTCAAGTTGGCATCCTGTGCCTACTTGCTACTAGTCTCGGAGTCTCATGAGGACTGATCAAGGCAACTCCTCCGCGAAGAAACAAGATCAGGCTCAGCTTTCGGCACTACTTCGGGTGCTCCTTCGGCGCCCAGGTACCTAGAACTGTGTCAACGTGGAACCATGCAAGGCTGGCCGTGAGATATCCGACTTCCCCAAAGTCAATACTGAGAAAAGAAAGGCAGGACCATTCCCTGCAGATATGTAGGCGTCACGGTGGTCTGAACACTGCCGCGACCCCGGAATTCAGAGCAATGTGTGAAGCAGACTCTCTTTACGTGGATTTACATTTAATCCGAAGGCAATGTCCAAGCGAGCTCTAGTGGCTGACCTGAAGGCACATACCTGCAGGATCTCGTAGATATGATTTCACAGAGTCTTTCGTGGTACCCCACCGCAGCCGTTCACAGGTGCGAGGCCAACAGAAAATCGTCGAGGCAGCAAAAGAGTCAAGCATGGAATCTGGGCATCGTCCAACTGTTTTCCGGAGGTTGGTACTCAGAAACAGCCCCTTGCAGTGCTTCCTTTGCCCGAAGCCTCCTACGAAGCGCTTCTGCTCGCAACGATATCACACGTAGCATCCTTGCTCTTGCCAGTGTCGCCATCGTTAGTCGAGCTGCGACAGGCTCAGGGTGTCCTGAGTACGCCCTAAGGCATTTCTCGCTTCCTCCTAACATCTCTGGCTCAATTCGAACAACGTGCACCAGCTTGACTTCTGGAATGTCTTGACATCTGAACTGCTTTGAACATGCTCAGCATGGACAGCTACGGCTTCTACAGTTTAAGAGTTTTCATCTATGCACATGCCAAGAGGCTGCGCAAGAAGACAGGAACCGGATCGCTCCACGTGAACATCTCTGCTGGAAGAGCCCCTGTGGCGTCTCTGCAGCGCGAGACCAAAGGAACTCTAGAAAGGAACGGCATCAGCGATCTCTTGCACACGTGTCATTTCTGCTCAACCCTCGTTTTGCAAGCTGAAAAGGCATGAGCCCATAGCCATGACAATGATTCTGTTTTGGCTACAGGGCACAACCGCCCCAGTCGTGTCTGCGACACCTGCTGGGCTCGCTGGCCGAACCTGCAGAAGAGCCAACGGCCTGGCAAGAAAAGCACCGAACCGCATTGTATGAATTAGCATTGCGATGACAGTTCCTCGCAGCTCCCTACTGTAGCCAAGGGGCACCGAGCTCGACGGCGCTGCAGCCACCACGGTCTGTGGCAGAGACACTGCTTGCCTTCCAGCAAGGCTTCGTTTCTCAACAGGTCGGAGGTCGGATCCCCACTCTTGTTTCGACGACAACCTCTCATGATCCTCTGAATGTCTGTCAACGACAGATGTACAACCACCAGGGAGCATTTGCTCAGGTCCCAGCTTTGCCCCCAGCAGGCAGTCACCGTCTCCGCCCTCTCCTTGCACCGCAGTACTGAGAGACTGAGAGCAGTTCAGAAACGCGCTTGCCATTTGCCATGGCTTGAGGGCAGACACGCTCGCCGGCCTGGCGGCGGCAGAGCGTCGCCAGTGCCTTCCGGAAAGCCCAGGCAAGAGGCAGCCACCGGCAGCGGCCGAGGTCGGACCTTCCACTTCCCTAGGCCATGCCGTCGCAAACAGCCCACAACGAGCCCTGTTTTCCATCTTATCCCGTCCCGAACCCACTGACCGGCCCCAAGGCACCATGGTGAGCAAATATCATGTCGTTCTTCACTTCCTGATCTAAGAACCGCTTATGCTATGGGCCCTTTCACCCCCTTTTTGGTCGAGGGGTGATGCCCTCAGCATCAGGCATCGTCCCACACGCCAAGGGGACACTGTTCGAGTATTTGCAGCCACAAGGGCATTAGCTGAATGTGCTTTTGCCCTTAGTCTCGCTGCCGGTGCTGTGCGTGCGTGCGTGTTTGGTCGACCACCCCTCCCCCAATGCCCCGCCTCTCTGAGCCAGTGTCCCCAGCTTAGTACTTCGGTGAGAGATCATCGAGGGAAGAGCTTTGTTCCTGCGATGTGGGCTGTCTTGCCAAGTGTCCAATTCCAACCCAAGCCGCCCCGCTTGGGGGGCGGGCCCATGGAGGTTCGGGTGGCACATCCCTCCCCTAATCCCCGGCTCGGATCGAGGGGCCCGGAGCGGTGAACTCTGCACCGGAGCCCCGATGACGTATGCGGAGGGGCAAAGAAGGCGAGAGGGACCGTTTCCGTAGGCCGGAGAGCACCCCAGGTCGACACTCACTCACTCACTCACTCACTCACTCGCTATGGGCCCTTTCAGAAATCTCCGACTCAGCTTCCTACATAAAAGCTACAAAACTTTCCACAAGGATCAACAGGCCTTTAATGTTCTAAGATTCGCTCGTTCAGTGGGCCCAATCTCGTCACCGCCGAAAGTTCGGTACTGCACTGCTTGTCAGCTCACTGCACCTGCCTTCAGCCTGCGGGCAACACTCAGATCTTAAGACGGTGTTAGACAACACTCTAGAAACCGTCGGCCCTCGTCACATGCGGCCGGGCAGAGGCAGACGACGCGGAGCGTTTACAATTAACACTGCCGACTGAACAAGGGAACGACAGCATCTAGCAGGTGCCTCCATGACCTCGCCCAGCTCAGGTGCATGGTCCGACAATCTGCTGTACGATCCTGGCCTCTCAAGTGAAATCGCTGGAGTCTTGGGTTCGGTCGAAAGCACTCGGACGTGTGCGAGGCACAGGACAAACTCTGTACCTCTTTTGATGCGCTGCACTCTTGCGAGCCTAAGCAAGCGCCATTGAAGCGTCACATCCGTCAGGTTCGCGAAGCAGACCCTGCACATGGGCGGATGCTGTTGGGTTCCAAGGGGGTGAGCAGCGCAAGGACACGGCAAGAAACGTGTCTGTTGTCCGGTTCTCCCTGCCTAGAGGTGACGAGGAGACGCTGGCCCATGGATCCACTGGGGTCTTGGCAAAGAGATTCTGAGATGGGGTTACGGGGCCGCGACTTGAATGCCTTCGAAATCCCCTTTTCCCTCGTCTGACTAGGTGAAACCGCAGTGTCTGTGACATTGAATTGAAAGTTTTGACTTGAATCCAGTAGACCGCTGTTCGGAAATCCGTAGCAATGTTTACGCCCGAGCATTTTGACGCAAGTCAAGTGGCTCTGGCCCAGCTGCGCGATTAGCTCCGCATCGCCGCACGGCCAAGAGCCTTAGATGTGTTCACGCTTTATGGCTTCACACGCCTGTTGATGGATCGGTGAATGGTCTTGTGCTTCCAGTTAACTAGTTCATGGTAAGTTCAAGATTCACAATCATGAGTGGGTCGCATGTTGCAGCGCAGGTCTAGCTTCCACCTGAGCAGCGTCCGACAAAGTGCATCCTGTATTGCAGCTGGAAGGCGGGGCTCTGCCATGAAGGGAGCGGTCAAGCACCGGCTTAGGTGAAGCCTCCGCAGGGCGGCCTAATGCCCGGACTTGCCGTGTGAGTATCAATCACATCAGTGCGCCGTGGAAGCTATACGTTTCGGCCGACAAACATATCGCTCGGAAGAGCACGGCAGGGTAACATCTATGGAATCTACGGCATCTGGTCTGTGTATCTGCACATAGCTCAGCTCGGGCCGCCCACCGCAGCGGAAGTGCCGGGTCTCCAAGGCTTCGCAGCTCTGCGCTGTCCTGCGCCCCCACCCGCCCCCAACTTACACGACACCTTGCCCCACACCACTATGGAACCATTCCGCCAGCTCGGCGCCCAAATATCAACCAAACATACCCGAAATCCAACTCCCAAGATCTCAACCCACATCCCGTAACAGCCTTCCCCCATAAACCCCCGTTATTCAACAGCCCAAGACCCTGCAAAATACCTTCCCCCATAAATCCCCGTTATTTCTCAGCCCAAAACCCAACTGTAAAATCCCAAATCCTTATGTGATGCTTTCCGAGGAGCCCTGGGTGTCTCCAACGAAAAAGGAGTGCAAAAAAGACGAGGGAAACCCCATAACTTGACCGAAGCGACGGTGTTGACTTATGAACGAAGCCGCAGCATTGGAAAAGGTTTGAGCTTGGTGTCTCGGTGGTTGGGTTGTGTGTCTTTGCGGGTTTAGCTTCTTGGGCGGCCCATGGAGATACTGACTCGCAAGTTTGAAAGCGCAGCGCTATCACGACACACTTTCATGAGCAAGTTCTTCTGTGCATCTTCGTCTGGGGCGCTCCCGTCCTCCTCCGTGCTTTCCGCATCGCTGAAGTCATCGCCAGTGAAGTGCATGCCATTTTTCAAGTCCTTCAAGTCTATGTTCCCAAATCACCGCAGAGCGCTTGCTTGAAGACCACGAACGGTGTAGAACGGCAAGTCCTTTGCGAAGCTGTACATGATGCGAAAACTTTTTCCACCCGTGATACCTGACTTTGCCTTTTCATCGACTGCTTTCGTGGCCACTTTGACGACCATGCAGCTCCTGACCTTCTCCGACAGCGGCTCTCGGATGACCTCTTTGACATCGGACAGCTTCTTTATACCCTCCTCGATGTTATTCTTCTGTGTCTTCGGGAAGAAAGTGCAACGTTGAAAAACTGTGTCGGAACTTTCTGATCGACCAGAGCACACAGCCTTCCGTTGAACTTCACAGTGAAGAAGCCGCCCTTCTCTTCAGTGATGTCCTCCACCGCCGTGTCCGCAAAAAAGGCTGTAAAGATCCAGCTGACTTGCTCCATACTTCCGGTACAAGACGCGGAACTCACGGGATTTTTGCTTTTCCGCTTTCGCATGGCTCTGTTGCATGTCGGGCAGGAAGGCGAATGTAATCCCTGATTCGGCGTCCATGGCTTTGTGGGGCGACTGAGTCAGGCCAATCGCACTCAGTTTTGTGCCAGGATGTTCACCCCCAAGAAGCTTGCTGTTACCAAACGCCAACACCATCTTCGGAATCCAGCTGTGCTTCTCTTTGACGGGGATAAGGTGGCAGGCTTGGAGAGCGAAGGCTGGAGCGCCAGGGTGAAATACGGGCTTTGCCGTAGCTTCCGCGTGCACTGTGCTCGGAAAATGCGAGTGTGCAGCAGCGGGACGCTTTTTGGGAGCCATGGCGAAAAACCATTATATCCTGTATTACCTTACTGCGTATATCTTTTCAAATTTCATCATTTACAGCATATTTCAAAGTTTTTATACAATCGCCTAATTAATGTGAATTTAGGACGAACATGTATAGGTTTAGGATTTCTTGTTTTAGCCTGAGGATTTATCAAAGGTTGTGTGTTTGTTTGTTGGGTTGATATTGAACTTCCCAAGATTAAGGGTGTAACACGTTACACCTTTAAACCTGTACTTATCCTCACGAGATATCATAACGCAAAACGGTCTAAAGGTATAACGCGTTATATGTTATCCCAGAAAATGATACATATTCCCGAATACACAGAGCATAGAAAAGAAATGATCAACGAGACGAAAAACTGTAATCAATGCTTTAAAATTCACAGCATATTGACGAATAACCTAAACACACTACCGGAAGGGCAAAACAGTAATATCTTTCAGCTCATACCGTGCAAGCTTTGTGAAGGACTGGCAAAGCTTATGAAAACGAAGCGAAAAACATGAAGTATCATACTTCTTGTACTGACGATTTGAAACTATACTATTTTGTTAGAACGCATCCTTTTCCTAAATAACCTTTTAGAAAAGATAAGAATAGGATTGTTCCGAATATCAAAACTAATTGTGTCAAGTATGATAAAGAAACAAGAACTCCCACACGATATACAAGTGGTATTCTATTCAATATAAAGTTTCAGAAATTAATCAATCAAATTAACAAAGAATTGTATATAGACACGGCGACACATGATGTTGAAAGATATCACAGTGGAGAAGAACACAGTAAAGCATTATTGGACAGTTGCTATGAAATATTAAAAGCATTTTCCCAAATGCATTGTAACAATGACAAATACATGGAAATGTTATATTCTAAACTTACAAATATTCGGAAACATTGGTTTTGATAATGTAGTTTAATGTTGTTATAATATAAGAGAAAATTTCCTTGAAGGGAGCCTGCCCCAGCCCACAAAAGGACTGCGTGTATTCATCATGGTTTGGATCGCGGCGTGTATTTATCATGGTTCGGGTCACAAAAGAACTTAACGCAAAACGTCTCAAAGGTATGACACCTTCGTATATTAGTAGATTGAATACATTAAAAGGATGTTTGAACTAAAAGCGAACCAAAACGAATATACTAACAAAATATACGATCTTTGCGGATTAAGAAACACTTACGAAGGCGTGTTTGATTATCAAGATTTACGTAATATTCGCGACGATATACAGAACTTTGAAAACGACATATCAGACACAGAAAACGTAATAAATAAGTATGCTTGTATGATTGAACACATTGAAATTCTTTGTAATAGCGGTGGGTTGGGAGACACCGAGACACCGAGTATTTAAAACGAAAACCAGGAGCCAAGAAATAGATAGAAGTGACACTGAAAGATTTTGAAACAAATATGGTTGTAATCTTGAAAATTTAGGAAACAGATGTGTCTGAACGGGAAAACACCCCAAGCACCAAAAGCAAACAAACAGAAAAGATCGAAGAAGAGGAGAGAATAGGAAAACAAATATGAATCATAAGATGTAATTTAATATTAGCTTAATATGATAATACACTTCATTAAAACCATCTTGCCCCAGCACAGGCGTATTGTTATTCTTAGGTTTAGGGCTTATGGGAAATCATATTAATGGGATTAGGTTTTGGGTTTTTACGGGTGGAATTGGGCCAAGGAATAACGGTTTTTTAGGGGAAGTTGTTTTCGGGATTTTGGGTTGAGATTTTGGGAATAGGATTTCGGACTTTTTTGGTTGGTATTTGCGCTTGATCTTTGGCATATAACGGGAACAACGGGGAGTTAGGAATATGGTTTCGGGATTTTTGGGCTGGAGATTTGGGCGCCGAGTTGGCGGAATGGTTCCAAAGAGGTTTGGGGCAAGGTGTTCTGTAAGTCCCCACACTGACGACACGAAGGCACGTGTCAAATGCAGAGACTCGTGCAGCAAAGGTCCTCGGATAGAAGTGCATCGAGCGGCATCTGGCAGATGATGGCAGATGTCAGCTTCAGTCGGGGACGGGTGCAGACGGCGAGACGTGTAGCCGTAGTTACTCACACTGTCCATGTGCCTCCTTTGCTGCTGGAAGTTGGATGCATGTGGGACCTGCTGCGACCTCGTCAGGCACTCAGGTGAAGGATGCAGACGGCGCTTTGCAGGACCCACGCCTCGCAGGCGGTGCCAGTCAGGTTCAATCCTGTAATCAGCCTCAGTACGTTGCGGCTCACCAAACCTTACTCTCACAGCTGCAATGCTCACAGTTGCAAGCTTCGCTCCTACAGCATTTGGGTAAGTTGGAGGTAGTTGGAGCACAATCCTCGGAGAGCCTTCGCATATGCCGCGATGCAGCTACATAGACTGGATCATGAAAGGCAATGTGACTCTGCCCCCCTCTCTATTGTTCATCTGAGCAGCGGCAAATATGCCTCAGACAGGACACAGGAAGGGAAATCTTGAAGTATGTGCGATGCTCCTAGGATCTCCTAGGTAAACTGCTGTTTCAGAAATTCTCGCTTTCCCAAATTTTGCATGCAAGGACGAACTTGCAACGTGCGGCTGACTTCCGCTCTGGCGTGGGTGCATCTGCAGCAAGCTCATCCTGAAGCTGCCTTGGACTTCGATTCAGTACCAGGCTACCCAGGCTACATCAGGCTACCCTGCACATCCCTGCACCACAAACTTCTCGAGAAGTTATCAGTGCCGTTACCGCTAGACTCTTCGAGTGATTTCGAGTGGAAAATTCCGTCGCCTCATTATGTGGTGACTGGACTCTGCCGTGAACACTGGTCGCTGCCAAGTGGCATCACCAAGCGAATGAAAACCGGGGTGATCACCAAGTGCAGCTTCTCCCTGCCATGGCTGGGACCAACTCGTAACAGTCTGGGCTTGTCATGGAATCCTGAATCACGTGGCATGCCATGGCTGCGGACCTTCAGCAAGCCAAGCTGGCCAAGCTTCAGCTTCTTCTAGATTTGCCGCAAAATCAATTGTTGAAGAAGGGTCGATCCACTAGACCGCCACATGGCTTGCGCTCCAATACCTCGCAACCCTCATTCCAAATCCCATCGCCTGGAGTTCACACGGAAGGAGGAGGTACCTTGAAGGACGTCGTATTCGGCGTCCAATCCTGAGTAGGTCTGAGTAGGTTGAACAACCAAGAGCGGCACGTCGTGACTGTTGTTTAGATGCGCTGTCCGCTGTTGTACCAGGCCACTGATCGGGAGCACCACTGGCTCCATGACACGAAGGTTGCGATTGTAGGACTCCACCTGAAAAAAGCCGTCCACAGCATGCAACTGTGCAGCATCACATGCTGCTGCTCTCAACGAAGTCTCACAGCCTCCAGCTCGAGCATCTGGGCACCTGACAGGCAGGGACGGTGCTTACAGAAGCTAGGCAGGCCTGTCCAAACTTTTTGCGAAGCCCAAAGTCCCAAAGTGTCCTTAGAGCACAATCTGACCTCTTACATGTCCTTTGTCAATGCCATGGCACGGAGAAGCAGGCGTGAGGCTTGATCAGTCACAGTCCGAATCTCCTGAGCTGTTGCACGTCAGGCGGCTATGCTGAAATCTCAATGTCAGTTTTCGTCGTCGGGCCACCCCGACCATTCAAAGCGAGCATTATGGACGACTGTGATGAGCCAATACACCGTATGGATCGATGGCAGGCCGATCCGGACATCGAGAAGCTTGCCCGGCTGGCGACCTTGAGGCATTCTGCTGAGCTTTAAGGACGCCGCACAAACTGGCATGGAAGCACAATGCAGACTTGTGGAACGGTGTGTACGAAGTCTGAACAGAACGAACCACTCCATTCGAGGCCAGTGACCATCCAAGACTTGCAGGTCGATGACTTGCTTCCTAAGGCCGCACTCCCGCACTCACATCAAGGCACGTCGTCACGCGTGGCACACCTCTTGTCACTGGGAACCGTCTCCGGATGGCTGAGGTTTTGTTGGATCAATAACAGCGGGAAATACCCACACATGCAGCAGCCTAGCTTCACGGCAGCCAGCAGTGATTTCTTGTGATAAATGGGTTTCGACAAGTCGCGTGTGACTTCGATCTCCTCTCCCGACCATGCCGTCCAACTCCAGGCCTGCAGGGAAAAGCCCGGCACCCCATGAGTCCAAGCCCCGCTGACCCCGCTGGGTCGCCGGACACCAAGACGTCAGGGCTGTCGGTGCATGAGGGTCACGGAGAAGCAGCTCCTGAATGCACTGCAACACAATCGCGAACATCGCGCAACCGCGCAACCGGAACGTCGCCCGAAATCCCTCGGCCTCGATCGGCTCTGCGCTGGGCGCTTCGGCACTTGCTAGCGAGCTGGCCGCTGCAAGGAGCGCACCTGGGAGTTCAACGTGAACAGCTCGGTACTTCCTCGAAAAATCTGGGCTCGGCTCCGTGCCGATGTCCTTTGTAGAAATGCGAAGGTCGAAAGGCTGCAGTTCGACGGGCCTAGGCACAGAACTTGTTGCCATGGTTGCCACTTAAGAGACTGCAGATGCCAAAAGGTGCAGTCCGACCATCGTGCCTCAGGATCAGCCCGCTTCTTCTTGGCGCCAAATTCCAGGTTCGACCGGCCGCAGAAAGGCCGAAGTCGCTGCACAGCCTCGGACGATAAGGGGAATGCAGCGAATGCGGACAGGACCAACCCGTCGGTTGAAATAGTCCACTGGGCATTGTCCTCGGGTCTCCAAAAGCGAACGGAGGTCGAAGCCACGCAGCACTGCACTCGGCACTTGCGCATCGCAACGCTGTACTTTGCAGCTCTCCAGGGCGATGCGAGTCAACTCCAGGCCGGCCTGTGCAGGAATGGGGCACGCGTGGCTGGTAGAGCTTCTTTTCGATGTCTTCCATGCAGACACTTGAAAAGCTACGGATGCAAACATGCACACCAAACTTTAGTCTACGTGTCTAGATGCATCGTGTCCCTTGGCAGCTGCCCTGAGACAAGCCCCGAAATCGGCAAGAGCGTTGCAAGTGCGGGGGTGTAGGGAGCAGGTAAAAGCTACTAGAATTGGACCGGTCGCCTCGCAACTAAGCAGCGATGCCGAGAAGACGGCACCGTTCTCCCGTGGGCTCCCGCAGAACTCAAAGTAGTCCTTCGAAGCTGGAGACTAACGAGTCGAAGCTTTCCGACACGGTCCCTGGGAGATTCCGCTCCTTTGGATTCTCTCAGACTCTCAAAGCGTCAAAGCTCAGTGCTGAAGTCAGCTGCCTGCTGCGCTGCCCAATCTGTCGGCAAGCGAAACGACGCGGATTGCAGCTCGACCTGCAGTTGCCAGCCGCCCGCCGCCGACTTGTAAGCTCATGATGCTGTGCATGGGCAGTCTCGCAGGTGGGCTTTGCCTCGATCAGCAGACTGGCCACGCCCAGCGGGCGCAGCTCGGAAACGTCCCACGATAGCCTAACAACGAGGCGGAGATGATTCACGGGCTCGCTGCAAATTCGAGCGCTGCATAGCGCTGCACTTGGAGCTGGCCTCTGACTCTGCTCGGGTTCGGGAGGGCACTGGGCCCAAGCACAGAGTCGCCAGGCCGAGATGCCCCAGGTGGCCTCAGCCCGAGGCGAGGAGCCGGGAGCCCCCTGCATAGCCCCTGCCAACTTCTACCAGGGGACGAGGTCTGCAAACAGCATCGGCAGCACCTCTCGCAAGACGTAGGCGAGCGACAGCGCTGGTGCTACGAAACGCAAGATTCGGCCTGGCCTGCAATGTGGCTCGGTTCAGCCGGATCGACAGTGCCGACCGCTGGCCTGCCTGCAACGAAAAACAGTGCAAACATGCCAAACGAACTTCAGATTCACTCGGCCAGTGGAACTGCACTGTGGGGCAGTGTCTTCGTATTTCATGGTCGTGCCGGCGAACTCACTTCACGAAGTGCCTCACTGCGCCAGGCCAGGACGAAGGAGCTTCCGCAGAGAACCTCCGCAGAAGGTCAAGTACGAGAAATACCCATATACACTATGCCGAAACCCGGGTGCAGTACAATTGGTCCCCACTCCTTTTTGGCCCTTGCCCCTGCCGAAGCTGCTTGAGCAGACTTTCAATGTGGCACCCTTCTCGCCACTGCATCAAATTGAAGCTTGCACATGTGTAAACCATCGACTCCAACCGTCTTCTTACTTCATCTGCTTGCATCAGAGCGACTGATTTGTCTGCGTTCCGTGATCGCAAGCGCAGATCCTGACAAATTTGCTGTCGAATCCGTCTGCGAGCTATAGACTACATGCCGTTGTGCAAGCGCTAACGTGTACGTGGCATGATGCTCTTGGCAATTCGCAGGACGTGTTTGGCGGATGGGCTGTACTGTACGTAGCATCTGACAGAGCAAGCCTTCGAGCCTAAATCCCAGCCTTCCTTCCAAAACCTACAGACAGCTGCTGTTCCTCGATGTCCACTGACCGGCAGCAAACCTTCAATAGCGCGCACGGACGGTGGGAAGCTTTCCAGGTCCAAGTGTTGATATTGGTCTGATAGCATCAAAACCTTCGACACCCGAGTCTCTGTACATCACTGTCTGTTGCAGCTCATCACACAGCTTTAATCTGCTCCCTAGAGCCGACAAAGAAATCTCTGCCTCCAGCTGGAGATCGGGATCCAGCTTCGCAAAGATGCAACTCCTGAATGTTGACAGCTTGAAAAACAACAAGGTTTGATGCATGGCAACCTGGCTGATCGATGTTGTGTCGTCATCGTCGAAATCGTCGTCGTCTTGTAGTGTCAGTGGTGGTAGAAGTGGTAGTGATGGCAGTGGTAGTACTGGTGGTAGTAGTAGTAGTAGTAGTAGTAGTAGTAGTAGTAGTAGTAGCAGTAGCAGTAGCAGTAGCAGTAGCAGTAGCAGTAGCAGTAGTAGTAGTAGTAGTAGTAGTAGTAGTAGTAGTAGTAGTAGTAGTAGTAGTAGTAGTGGGTAGTGGTAGCATTAGCAATAGCAGCAGCACTAGCAGTAGCAGCAGCAGCAGCAGTGCTCGTGGCAAGGGTAGCGGCAGCGGTAGTGGTAGCCGTAGGGTGTCAGTAGTAGTAGTCGTCGTCGTCGTAGTACTAGTAGCAGCAGCAGCAGCCGCAGCAGCAGCAGCAGCAGCAGTAGTAGTAGTAGTAGTAGAAGTAGTAGTAGTAGTGGTAGTAGTAGTAGTAGTAGTAGTAGTAGTAGTGGTCGCAGTAATGGTCGCAGTAATGGTCGTGGTAGCAGCAGCAGCAGCAGGAGTAGTAGTAGTAGTCGTCGTCGTCGTACTAGTAGTAGTAGTAGTAGTAGTAGTAGTAGTAGTAGTAGTAGTAGTAGTAGTTGTTGTTGTAGTTGTTGTTGTCGTGGTCGAGGTCCTGGTCGTGGTAGTAGTTGTAGTAGTTGTAGTAGTCGTAGTAGTAGTAGTAGTAGTAATAATAATAATAGTAGTAGTAGTGGTAGTGGTAGTGGTAGTGGTAGTGGTAGCGGTAGCGGTAGCGGTAGCGGTAGCGGTAGCGGTAGCAGTAGTAGTAGTAATAATAATGAGTATTGTTGTTGTTGCTGCTGCAATGGTAGTAGTATTCAGTGGCAGCAGCAGCAGCAGTAGCAGCAGCAGCATTAGCAGTAGCACTCGTCTGTCAGGTGCATGTCGGACTGACAACTCTAGACTCTAGGATCTGTAGCTTCTCAAGTTGCCAACGGAGAGTCCCTTGGAGCGCAAGTGCAGCCACCGGGGCAGATTCAGTGAATTGGACCTTGAGGCTTCAAGGCAAGTCGAGGTCGCGAACCAATGCGAATGCTTGGGCTTTACAATATCCTAGAAAACCACCAATACCGTGCATACAGGAATGCGTGTCACAATGACCAGTCTGGCTCTGGAGGAATGGTGGAATGCTGACATGTCGCTCGAATCAGCAGCACCGCCGGGTTTGACCACCTGGCAGGTAGGTAGTGTTGCCGACAGTGGAGACTAGCTGCTGAATGGCCTTCACCTTTCGAAACGACTCCACAGCAAATGCCAGCATGATTTCGCTCTTCCAAACATCGTCAAAGCAGAGCCGCTGTAATGTGAAAGGCTGCCCGGCTGAGTCTTGACCTCAGTCGGGCAGTGCCAGCGAACAAGGACTGTTGTTAGATGTGCTGGCAACCGTTTCATCCTTTTACCTCTGATGTCGCCTTCGTGACTCAGTATTTGATTGCAATAGACACTCACACACTGTCTCTGGGTGAACCGATATTGGTATTAATCCTCGAACCTGAATCATGACTTTGAATCGGCACCCGCGGTCTCAGACGAACAACATTGCACGCCCTCCTGCAAAGCCAACAGCGGAAACACTGCAATATCCCGAAGCTCCAAGTCTGAAAGCACCTCTTCCGGACACGGCCTAGGCGCTTGTTTCTCCACTGGGCCCCCACTTTTTTGGCGGCAAGTCCTCTCAGGAGCAATCTTGACATAACGAGTGAGCCCCTTCGGTCACCACCATCTGAATCTCGCGGTCCGGAAGCTGGCTTGCAGAGCGCAGCGTGGCCAGCGTGCGTGCGCGCACCGAGGCCTGCAGTGGTCAACAGGGCCGGAGATCGAAGCTCTAGCATAAACCTTTGCCTGCACAGGCGCGGGCGAAGGTACTGCCTCAAGGCTGCGTGTCCTGGAAGGTGTTCATGCATCAATAATGCGGCAGTGGCAAAGGCTTTGAGAATTTCAAGGAGTTGTAGTTGTACCCGCCAGAAGCCTTGTTGCGTTTGTCTGTCAACTCCATTGAAGCCTGCATGCGAAGACATGAATTCAAAGAGCAGACCGGATGCCACACTGCCATGTCTGCTTGTAGCCGACTGGCCCCTCGTCTCACTGCCTCTTACAAGCCCCTTTGCTCGGAGCCTCTGCTCGAGCCTGCGAGCCTGGTGTCTGAAATCCAATGCTCGACCCCAGGTCCCCAAATTCCTGGCACTGTGCGTCTCACGGGCTGAGACGAAGGAGCTGGCCTGGCAAATTGCCACAGTGCTGCTACTTGTAGCATTGTAGGATGTATCCAGAGTTTTCTGAGGGCTCTGTCCAGGATGGGTGTCTCCACAGCTCTGCTAAACGGGCGCCTCGGACTCCTCCTGTTCAGAGTCCACCTGCAGCGGCCCGACGGGAAAAGTCTCTGCAAGAACTGTGCACAACAAGTCCGCATGGCCGCGTGTCTTCCTGTCCGACCCCTCACAGCACATGAAACAAAATGCCTTTCATGGTACGCGTATGCCGAGACCTACATCTCCAGACAAATACATTCAACCTCACCGACCCATATCTGTTAATCTCACTGAATACCCCGAAAAGCTTCGTTTAACATCCCCTCGCGAACATCCCCTTTTCCACTGCATCACATGTGCTTCCCGTGAACCGGTGCCAGCGAAGTGCTATCGCCTCGGTGGCCTCCTCCACAAAGCTGGCATAGCTGCGGTTCTCCGCCAACACGTCCAGGCTGGGACGTGACAGGACGTGGAGCTTTCGCAAAGCGGTTTCTTGCTTCTTCCGCTTGCAAGGTTGTTGTGTTGCCGGTCTGTAACCCGGCGCCGGTAGACAAAAAACGAAGTCGCAGCCGAAAGCTGAAAAAATGCATCCACGGCGCATGCGTGTGAGGTCACCGCGGCCAAGAACTATTTCCAGTTGCTCACCACCGGATGGTTGCAGCGAAGCCTGCACGAACACGCCGAACAGCAGGCGGAGGGACAGCCGGACAAGCCGGCACATTGCAAAAGTATGGTGCTTTACGCAGCAATCCCAAGGCATCCCAAGGCCTCGAAGCGGGTCCCCTCTTCGCCTTGGCGTAGTGTTGCATCCACACGGATCGTCGTGGGGGTGGCGCCCTTTGAAGCCTTCCCGATTCACACATCCGGCTTTTGCTACTGCTTGCTGTCTTAGTCTTGGCACCTCCGTCTCCGGAAGCTGCAGGACAGAGGCAAGTTTGCCGGTCTTGCCGGCCATGCGGAGGTCCACCTGGCAGGATCCCCGCAGCCGGACGAAGGACCCCACCCTCCGACGAACAAGTGCTCTCGCCGATCTCGCCTCGCACAGCTTCACGTCCTGGAGATTCAGTTGATGTTGCAGTCATGTTGCTGACCGTCCGGACTGAGCAAATTGTTGGTGCATCAAAGTCAAAATATCTGCGATGTAGGCTCATGAACCTAAGGCCACTTGAAGGTATAGTTGCATCTGTCAGGTACCTGAGAATGTACGAATGTTTCTGGTGCAAACGGAGCACGACATAGCACGGCGAAACACGTCCGAAGTCCAGCGTCTCGAGGCTTTGCGTGGTGCGCTGGAGGTTGACGTGCCCGAAGTCGATGACGATAAACTCCTGGGCGCAGCGCCGGACAGCAGGGTATTAATGAAGCTGCCTCGCTAAGTCCAACCCCGCTCCGCTTGGCGCCGCTCCTCGCCAGGCATGGCCCTGAAGTCGACAACGCCCTTGTGCTCCTCGAGATGACCGCAGCGCGATGCCTCCGGTGCCATGTTTTTCTGGGGAGAGAGAATGTGACAACAGCGAGGCATGCTTCAAACCAGCACTGCGGCTGCCCCGAGGTGACGCTGCGCAGGACGATGGCGAGGCTTCCGCGGTCGAAACACAACACTTTCGAACACGTGAAAAAACACCGCGTGTGGAGACTGTGGAATGAGAACAAGGTGCTTCCTCAAGTCGATTGCTCAGACCGAGGATCTTCAAGTGAGCAAGTTGCGCAAGCAGATGCGGTTCCTTGCACCCCTGCAGCTCATCAGCTCCGCGGCCGCCCATCCCGACCATCACTAAAACCAACAGTTCAAGCTTTCATACAGTAGGTCAGTATGTTCACGCGGGCAGCGACTACCTATGAGAGGCGGAGTGTCTTCAGTTTGACTTTTAGGCCGAATCGAAATCAATCATAACAGGTGTCGAACTCATCGGGCGAAGGTGCCCACCCGGCTGTCAAACAACACGCGGGCTGCTGCACCTCCTTGATGCAATACTTTCCGTGATTTCATGTGTGCCAGCGTATCCAGCTGAGGACTGAACACCAACGGTTACCCGCGCCTGCTCTCTTTAGGGCAACATCTTCTGAAAATCCCCAGGCGGTGAACAGGTCTCTGCTTACGGCACTGCTCACAAAACAACTGTTGACCCCGAATCTGGAAAGAATGAGTCTCGATTGTATGGAAAGTGCCAGGGTCTCCATTCCAAGAAAGGGCATGCGCCTGACAATCGTAGTTCGATTCAATGCTGGAGTTGCAAAGCCCATTCAAATCCGCATGTCCGCAAGGTGCCTCGGACGCTACTTCTTCTTGCCTGTCTCACGTTTCGACACAGTTGTCTGCATCGTAGGACAAACTGCCGTGCCAGCAAAAAGTGCTTCCGAGGTCTTCCGAGCACGAGCCGTGGTGGTTTAGAAGAGGGAGCGAGACCTGAGATGAGAGACCACCCTGGCGGTGAGAGCCCTGAGCCCGCCTCAACTCCCAGGGAGCGCCGCCGCCGAAGAACCGTTGGGTCTGTGGGAAGAAAGACCTGCAACACAGCAGAGCCATGCTTGGTCATTGCACAAAGCACCGTGCAGACGGTGCGCGGGGCTGAGCTTCCGGATTGGGGTCATGGGGTCTGCGCTCAGTTGAAAGCCTTGGGCGCGCCAATCCAGCATCGGAACAAGGGACCTGCGAAATTTGCTGAACTTTCGACGCGATTGAAACGTAGAGCCAATGCCCCCACGACAGTCGAGTCATGGACTGCAATCCTCCCACCAGAAGACGAATCTTGCGACAAGCAGCGTTTCCACTTGGCGATCCCGAAATCGGCCCGCCGGGGGGCCACCTCCGCAAAGAAAAGAGAACGAAGGCGAAGAGAGCGAGCGCCTCTCAGCTCTCTGCGCCTCCGCTTCCGCTTCCGCTTCCGCCGCCGCCGGGGCCGGCGGGTCGTTTTGAGATGAGACTGAAGGCCTGGAAGATCTCTCTTCCCCAAACGTCTGCGGGCACGGATTGGCACGGGACAACGGGGACAGCGCCAAGGCCTCTGGGAACTGCCCGCACCTTCAGCGGCCTTCACATGTGCTCAACAGCTTCAAACCAGTGCTTCGACCAGCTTTTTGCAATACCGATCTAGAAATTTCGCAGACGATGGGAAGAGAGGGCGAGGACTTACTTGACTGCTGGCGAACGAAGTAGACTGAGTTGATGAGCGTCTACTGAAAGTTCCGCCTGAACCTGCAACTGTGCAGACAGCTGGCCAGCTGCCACTACCAGGTCTACCACTTACGGGTCCGAGGTCCTGCAGTGGTCTCCACACCGAGCGCAGGAGGTCCACGAGCGCATCCTCAAGGCCGAGAAGGGGAAAGCAGCTTCAAGAGCAGATGCAAGCAGCCCATCGTTTCAGCCGGGCACACTGTCGCGCTGGCGGAACAGCACTGCCAACTGCTGCAACTTCACTCCTCAGGAGAGTCACGGCGAAGCTTGTTGCCAGCGTGGACCAAAAACACATTGAGTTTGCTGCCCAGATACCGAAAAGTGGTGCCAACCCTTCTGTCTGTAGCGGCACCAAGGCAGAACTTTCAAGCCTCAGCAAATTGTGGATGCCGAGAGCCGATGGCTGGAGGTATTGCTCGCGTTCGGTATTATCTGCTAGCTGGCCCACGACACAATCATGTTCTGTGATCTACAGGTACACGGCGTTGCGCACCTGTCTTCATCTAGACTCTAAGATTCAAGCTTATTGATGTCGCTCCTGTATGGAGCGTCACTCAGCTCAGCCGAAGCATGACTGTCGACTGTACAGGGTTTAGATCGGGGTTGCCCGCAACTCCCAGGCCAGGAAATCGTCTAACTAGACCGGTGACTCGAGTGCGTTGCCGTGAGGAGAACCTCAGCTTTGTGGCTTCCTGCGTCTGATCTTCGGATAACTGGGTCCAACACCGGTGCCTGGTTTGTACTGGCAACTGACTCTTCACCAGGACGCTGGCAGCACTCCACCTGTAGCCCTTGGAGTCAGCAGCCTTGGTCGCGATTTGAGGCAATGTCATGAGAGCCAAGAAAGCGCCGCAGAAGCCGTTTGGCACAAGCCTTGGCAATGCGTCAGATTGAAGGGGAAGGGCCAAAGCCACCAGATGCCACCAGGTGGCCGCCGGGACTGGAGAGTCAGGCTGGCCGCCTGGAGCTGGAGCCTGGAGCCAAGGGGTGACACGGTGATGCTCTTCACATCTGCCCTCGTTCCGACTCGCCGGAAATCTGTGGCGACGATTCTACACGACATCTCACCACTGATGTTCGAGCTCGGACACCAAGAAAAGGGGAGTTGCTGGATCTGGCTACATCTCCCTATGCAGGTACAGGTGTGAGCGTGGGAAAAGCATGCAGAACTGAACACCTTGCCACATAAAACCGATTCAGCATCAAACTTTACACAACCTACCAGCAGCACATAGAACGTGTCAGTTGGCACTGCAGCTCATCCTGGCGCTGTGGCCACCTTATAGCGGCCAAGTGGCGATGTGAACAGCAAGCTTGCAGCCGTACCTCGAAAGATATAAACTTGCTCCGGGCACTGCCGCACTGCCGTCTGGAGCTGGCATGATCAAGCCAATCCGAACGAGGATGCACCGTGTAAAGTTAAAGACATGATGGCTAGCTGCAAGACCGTTGCTTTCTACTTGGCGCTGGGCGCTCGCGGAAAAGCTGGACACGAAAGTGGACACCTGCAGACATGCAAAAACAGCTTTTGGAACTCCTGAGCAAAATCAATGTGCGTCACTCTTTGAGCAACTTGTCTGTGAGACTTGCTCTATCTCTTCTTCTCGAGGGAAATCATGGATCACACGTTACGTTGACACATCGGGCTCTCTCTCTCTCTCTCTCTCTTTCTTTCTCTGCTGGGCTTAGAGGCTTAGAGGTCGCTGTGCGACCCTCAGGCCATCGGCCCGCCCAACCCCCCCAATTATCTCTTGCTTGCTAGCTTGCTCGGTTATCTTGCTTGCACACAGCCAAGGAGAAGGCAAGCCCTCCCCCGGTGATCTCTCTCTCTCTCTCCCTCTCTCTCTCTCTCTCTCTCTCTCTCTCTTCCGGGCTTGAAGGTCGGGCCAGCATCCAGGGCCCTTCCTCCGTGCGCGCACGCACACCCGCTTCTCGCGGGGGTTATCTCTCTCTCTCTCTCTCTCGCTCTCTGCCGGGCATGGGGGCTGGGGCAGCGTCCGGGCCCCGACCCTCGTGCGCAGTGCACACCCGCGGTTCACGGGTTGTCCTGTGGTTCCCCAATGTTCCCCAGTGGGTTTTTTCCCCCGGGGCTCAGCTTTACAGTACTTGGGTTAGGTTCCTCCCCCGTTTACCAAACAAAGTACAAGCGCTCTTCACAACACCGTCGGGCGAGGAACCCCCTGCAAGCTGGTGCTTCCGTCCCCACCTTTTCCGAAACACTAACACGTATGAGCAAACATGGACACTTGCAGCTGAGGGTCGGACCAGGGTGCTTCACTCGAAGTGGCTGCCATATGTTATTCATACATATACAGGAAACAAAGGTTCATCATTCCCTACAAACTCCCCCACATAATCATATGCAGCTGCCCTGGTTTGCACCGAAATGGCCACTGGGGCTATTGACCATGTCCCCCCCTGAGTCTCTCTCTCTCTCTCTCTCTCCCTCTCTGTCGCTCTCTCTCTCTGTCGCTCTCTCTCTCTCTCTCTCTCTCTCTCTCTCTCTCTCTCCGCCGATGTACCTCCGACTTTCCCGAGGCAGAGCATCCGCTGTCCAAACTCGAATGCAGAAGCCGGCAACGCACATGCCCAGCTAAGCCCCAAGACAAGAGAAAGCTGCGTGACGCTGGACGCATGTTTCACCCGGCCCGGAACCCGCCGGTGCCTTCCAAAGAAGCGTGCGCCACCGCGCGGCTCTGAGTGCCTAACGAGAGGGAGCACTGATCGAAAGCATTGATCTGCAAGCTCGGGTTCTTGACAACAAAGCTGGAGCAGATAATTCCAAGATTAGCTTGGTAAGCCCTTCCTCGCGGCCGCTGTGCGAAGATGCGCAGCGAGGCGCTCTGAAGATGTAGCACCTTGACTGCACAGCGCTGGTCAGCATGGTAGCAATGATAATGGCTCGGACCGCTGGATGGGGGGGCTCGGCCATCGCACCGTCGTGCCCATTTGCATCTGTTGTCCAGCCCTCTGGATGCTAACAAGGAGCAGTGCTGACGAAGGCTGGGGCGCATGGGGCATTGACGCCATAGCCTGCGAAAGCCTGTTGACCAGGAGACAAAGCAGGAGACGTGTCAAGCTGGTGACAAGCTCCGCTCCAGACTGCCTCAGCTGAAGCCTGCAAGCTAGTTTATGCCTTTAAATAAACGAGGCAGAACCTCGGGCTCGACTGAATTTGCGATCACAGGTCGAGAGCCACGACAGCAAAAGAATCCACACCACAACAAGGAAGATTGGCACCACGACAGAAAAACTCTCAACTGCAGTCCAGACGAGCACACACTGTTAGGGTTGAGCCAAAAACCTTGTCACTGTAAGAAAAAAGCTTGTCAATGTGGCTGGAAGGCTTGTCAGTGTGCCCCTAAACCCTGGCGTGGTAAGGACCTACTCAGGACCTACTCTGATCGCAAGTCAGCTGCCTCTTCCTCTGTCATCGGAGGCAGCACTGCACCAGCGTCCTCCTGACACGGAATAGGAACAATGATCCAACAAACGCAGGCCCAGACGTAACCGGAACTTGCAAGATGCAACGGCTCTGAGCCTCATCATAAACAGTGCTGTAGCATACAACTCACACAGCATCGTACACTAGACGTGTTGACATCGCACCTCACTGATTTACAAACCCGAGATGCGGGTAGCGTTGCCTCTTCCACATCGTCGCCACTGCGCTTTGCGGTCTTCTCCTGCGACTGAAGAGCAGTCTGCAGCTTCCTGTCACAACCACCTATGCACTACCCAAATTATCGGGGCAACGGAATTCGGCTCGAAAGTGCAATAACCAAGTGCCACGCCTGCATCGGTCCCAGCATCTCAATCTTCTCCCATGCAGCGGAATAGAAGCGAGATCTCCTGGCTTCTAGTCGAGCCATGTCGAGCCAAAGCATCCACCCGATATCTCACAGAACTCATACGATCTCATACGTCATACGCATCATCTGATGTTCGGCGGGGCACTCGACGGAATCTTGCTCAGCTTGGTTGTTGTTGCCCAGCTATGCTGCAAATGCGGCGAGTGCGAGTTCGGTCACCACTGGGGCACTGTGGCTCCTGGGCTGGGACGCCTCGCGTAGTCGGCGGAGAGCTTCGATGGCCGCACGATCTGAGCGGCTCAAGCGAGGGATCTGGGATGCTTCTGGGATCTGCTGGGGCCTGGAGAAATACCGCAACGGTTCAAAAAGAGGCCGAGGGGTTGAGGGGTTCACAAGGAAAACTACATCCTTCTACGCTTATTCCTCTTGCTTCACTTCTTGCAAGATGCAGCTAGCAAAGTCGTGGACAACAATTACAGTACTGTACTTCAGATATGTTTTGGCTGGACCAACACCCCGAACAAGAGGAAGCTAGCTGAAGTATGTCGACGGACCCGGATTCTTGTTGCGGGACCTTGCAGTTGCAACTACGAGTCATCCGATTCAGGATGAAACAGTATACAGTATATGGTATACTCAGCCTCGTACTGCTTCGTACAGCACGACAGCTTGTTATGCGCAGGTAAGATGGAAAGGTTCGTCGCAACTGCAACAAGTTGCCCAGGCCTTCCAAAGCTTCCGTGACCAGCGCCTGCATCGCCTCTTGAGAAACAGGGATATTGTTTGCTTGTGGCAAAATTGCATGAAACCGCTCTGTAAACGCAAGCCCACAACCTGGTAATTCAGCCACGTGCCTCGGAGAGATTCGCTATGCGCCGCGACAGCTCAGTGTGAAGGGATCCTTCAATACCTCGCAGCCGCAGCACAGCCGAACAGCGGAGCGCTCGCTCATCTTCAGCGACCCTTCGAGTCGACAAGTGCAAGTACCGGATCCTGAACGGTTCAGCATCTGAAAGGCAGCCGTCTTGCTACGTCTTGAAAACCCACGAAGCTGAGATGCCTACTGCAGTTTGCTTTCACGAGTCTGGGCAGCTACACGGGAAGCTCGGATGCATAGTGGCCTTTTCCTCTAGCAGCTCAGGTATGATACGTCTGATGAACTTGTGCAGACATATTGGACGCATGCTTTCCTGGCCTCCGATGCCTGCCGCGAGCTGGTAGTGACCCTCCGTCGAGCGCTGCAGCTGCAATGCCACCTGTTCCAAACAAGTAGAGGCAGTGTTGGTCGTGGTGGTGGTGACGGCACTGTGTAATGACAACTTGCACTGATGGTCTCTGCATACTACCAATTGTGTGGTGCTTGAAGTAAAGTGTGAGTTGAGTTGCGCAAGCAAGCAATTCAACTGTCACTGCTGTCACAGAGCGCAAGCCCTCCGAAGGTGGATGCCATGAGACCGCGCACAATCACATTGCACAGCACGTCAATGTAGAATGCGCTTCATTGGACTCGAGCTAGATGTGTCAGCCCCCTGCCGCGGTCTCCAGATAGCTTGTCGATAGAAGCCTCGAGGATAAACCTATCTTGAACACATGGTCCGGAGGTCAAGGGGATCAGGAGTGAGAGCGCTTCCTTCGGGAAACGGCCTTTCCGAACGTGAGGACGTCGCTGTGGCCGAGAACGATTCCAGCATCCTGCCGAATCCATTGTGAGGCTTGGGGATCTGAAGGTTTCACATGTTGACCCAGAACATAGACTCAGAAACAGCAGAGATATCTCCTCAAAAAGACACCACGCTGCTGGTGCTGCCGTTGCACAGCCCACCGCAGCAACAGGGAACTCGGCAGGCTCAGGCACGCGCAGCTCAGGCCTCGGGACTCCGTAGACTCCCTCTCTTGACACAACTCAAGGCAAACCTCTCCTGTGATCCGGCTCCACCACCAGAACCGATGCCGCGCCGTGCCAGTAAACATGCATGAGCTGTGGCAGCGATCCACATGGTTACAGGGCACCCGGCTCCAAGCTGTTCTCCACGGTACGCACGCGAACGCGCCCAAAGCCTGAAGCAAGGAGCTCAAGGTACGGTAAGGGTTGGTCAGATCAAATCTTGTCGGACTTGCATTTGTGATTACAGCTAGTGAGCAAGAAGCAGCAAGAAGGCAAGACGTCTCATGCACAAGTGCTGTCTCATCTGTAGGCTCCGGCGGAGAATGAAAGCTTCTTCCAGATGCTCCTCCCAGTGCAGCACCGGTGCCTCATGCCAGCCCGGAACCAAAAAGGTTTAAGAAGTACAGTATAGAGGATCCGTACCGAACAAAAATTCAAAAGCAGCAGTCTCTGTTCAGCTGTGCACGACGGCTACCGTACTGCCCGTTCCTGAGAATGCGCACAACCTCTACCTACACATACAAAATCGCTCGCCCCTCACAGAACCGGCGCAAAACCCTGACCAAACCACATGAAATCAAGCAGCCGCCACATCCAAGTCGAGCTCTAAGGACATCACAGATACCTGGCTCATGCTGCAGAAGTGAAGCATGATAGCTGGGGTGGGCTTGTCTACAATTGCTCGGCTCCGCAGAACCTAAAAAATCAATACGCTAGCAGTGTTGTAAGAACACCTTTCCGACATGACCACATGGCTCCTCATTGCTCGACGGTTCTCTTCGGAGCCTACAGCCGACCCTGGTCGTTGCGGAGCAAGCGTCTAAGTTCCCAGCAGATCCATTAGAATTCACCTCGTGACAGACAACAGCGCCGCCGGTAGACCATGTCAAAACTCTAAACCTAAACATAGCTATATAAACCTTCTCATGAGAAGCTGTCGCTGTGTCACAGCGGGACGTACTGGTGCCAGGAAGCGCCTTCAGCTCCTGGGCCTTCTCTTCTGAAGTCGGCTCCGGTTGAAACGCATCTTCTGTCTGTCCTGATCAAGATAAACGGAAGCTTCGATCCTGCAAGTCCCTAGCGAGAAGCAAAGCACTTTCGCAACACCTGCCTTCTCTTTCCGGACCGCCTGCTCCAACCTCCAGCACTGCAGCTACATCCTGCACAGGGCTGCAACTAGACGTCAACGGATATTCTTGAGGTTTGACGTCAAGGCTTCACCGATCTGTGCGGGGTTTGTGCCCAGCAGTCAAGCACGGGTATGCCGAGAAAATCCATAAAGAAAGCTTGCTATTGGTCGACGGCTTCTGCCGGCCTGGACCGCACTTAGGGTGTGCTGCAGGCGGAGTGGCGCCAGCAAAAAGCGCAGCGGCGCCTTGCATTGTCCATTAGTCCATTGTGATTCGCACCCGCTGGGCTTCGAGTTATGCCGATCAGACAGCCAAGATCCGTGAACTTGATTAGCACCGATTGTCTGCAACATCCTTCGCATGATTGCAGAGTCGCTTCGCCCAGTGGCCCAGTGGTGAAGAAACTCTTGCTACCAATGAAACTCGGGAGGGAAAACGGGACAAGAGCCGGTGCTCCAGACTTTGTTCCTTTGCCTCTGAGAATCGACTGGCAGGCGGAAGCCAAGCGGAAGCCGAGGCCTGCTTCACCCGCAAGCTTGTTGACCAGCTGCCGGCGGTGACCTGGAAAGCATCATGCTCAGCTCTGAGAATCTTCGATGTTGCCCGTCAAGAAGCGAAACCAACTTAAGGTCGAACCCCGAGAGCTGGCTGCAGATTTCCAGCTTGGTTCAGCATGAGTCCACAACACTCACAACGCCCACCTCTTGCTGCAAGGCTCACTCATTGTCTCTCTCGAACTATAAAGACTATCAGCGGCTGAACTGGAGACCAGCTCCTGCAGCATCGGCATTCAAGAGGTACGGCCCAGCTTGAAGCGTCACTCGTGCATAGAAGGCACCAGCGATTTTGGGCCGAGTTCTGATGAACGCTACGGCAGGTTCCACCACCTCTGCCCCACGATTCCTCGGACTTCTATGAGTCTCGAAGACAACTTACGTTTCGTTGCCAGTTGCGTTTAGCTGTTTAGCTGCGTTCTCATGTGGCTCGGCATACGAGCCACTGTGTATCTGTGTGTGTGTGCGCGTTTGCGCTCGTGCGTGCGTGTGTGTTTGCTTGTGTCCTCTTTGTCTTCTCCAGGGCATGAGGAACGAATCATGTCTCTCGTCTGGCTGTCCTCAAAATCCACCAGTCGCCTTGCTGCCACGACATTTTGCAATCGGATCGACTCGTATGCGAGCAACCAAGGTGGCATCATGTACGTGACGCCGGATGTTCACCTGTTGTTCTGCCTGAGATTCCGGAAAATAAGAATGATTAACATGAAGCTGCCCGTTTGTATAGGACAAAATTTGTTTGTGCCTGTTCATAAACGATGGCATCCATGCATTACACGCCCTGCTTTTGGAAATCAATGTACCGGAGGTACTGTGAAAGCTTGTGTGGGAGCGCGCCTTCGGACTCGAATGCCGAATTTTAGCACGCAGACTCTGCATCTGCTGTAATGCTGAAGCACGCTTCCGCGTACGTGTGCTTTTTAAATACATGCACACATGCATACGTCATACGTACCATCTACCGGCGTACACACCTCAAAGTCCATCCTGACGCTGTCCGTGCTCGGTGCCTCCCCGCGCCGAACGCAAGCAGACACAACAACGGCTGCCAAAGACCTGCGACGGATTTGGGAATGGCGGCAGACCATACCAAGTCTGAGTCGGAAGACTTGCCGTGGGAGTGCGTTCTGCACAGCATCTGCGGAGTCTGCTGCGATCCCTTGATTTTGCAAACTTCTCCATATCAGAAGTATCGTCATAGGAATAGCTCATGCAACTTACAGTCCCATTAGACCTATGGCTCATGGCCAGGTACCTTTTCTGGCATGCGAGATCATCCTGGGAAAGAGCGACAACTTCGGACCAGCGCAGTGGCTCTGCTTCAAAGAGAAACTAGACAGCCACCAGCTCTCCGCTAGCAGACAAACTGATTTCTCCGGGTAGGAAGGTGCAGAAGCGTGCCGCAGCTGATTCACTTGCCGATTCGTTGGAAAGTGGCCTCGGCCAGATTGGATATGTACGCGGTCTTACATTTGTCCACAGCAGCCTCTTTGGCTCCATGCTATGCCAACACCGGCACACACCCGTACGGGCACCGCAGCTGCAGGTAGGGCACGCAAACAGGAATATGGTCAGAGGGTTCCTCTGCATTCGGCATTGGCTGCTCCGGACACCGCAACTTCGAGCCTGAGTAGAGCAGCAGCCGTGATTAGACTATGCTGAAGCATCAGAGGACGTCTTAGCTACTTCTGCGAAGATCTCACAAGTGCTTATGGCAGCGCACCCTTTTTCCAAAAGTTAACAGCTGCTGACGTTGCGATTACGGAACCATTCCATGCAGTCTAGACCCGGGCATCGCTCATTCGGACAAAGCCACTGTCCAAGAGAGTGTAAGCCTCCTCGTCGAAAAATATGTAATCCTCAGTCTCACGTGCGTTGACCGACCATCTATTAATCCTTCAGCGTGAAGCCGGCAAAGGCATTGCTGCTTTAAGACCTTAGTCTTGGTACTCCGCGAAAACGGAGTTTCTCAGGAAAAAACAGAAAGTACTTGCCATGGAAGATCTGCTGAGCCCGGGTGGCCAGGTCCATCGAAGCTAAATCCAAACCTATCGAATTAGCTGTCGCTTCGGCGGTATCGTGTTTTCCTCGTATCGGACGGCGGCCAGCAAGCTGATGAAGGCAACCGAAGGCAACGCCTCTGACAGATTCCTCTTAACAATCTCCACTACGCAATCTGCTCAGTCAAGCTTTGTTTCGTTAAGTTTTGCTTACATGCTCTGCGCATCGAAAACCCGTCACTCCGGCCTGAACCCGATTTGCGATTGCAGCTTGAACTCCACCCGTGTTAGCTGAATGCAATCGTCACGATTCGAAACTACTTCGAGGTCCCACCCTTCTGTCTTTGAAGTTTGAATCTAGCAGACATGTGCAGACTGTGCCAGGCCCAGGTTCGATGGTTTCCAGGCGCGTGCCTGTTCGAGTCGACGAGCAGGCCTGACATGAAGAGTCTAGACAATCCAGCGACCCGTCCTCGACTTGAACTGGGCATTGCATGGTGTGTGCATGTGAGCTGCCCTACCAAAGCGCTGCATGCCGGCTGGCACAGGACACAGCATGGATACATCGCCCCGGGCCGCACCTCATCCCCATAGCAGGAATCGAAAGCGTCGCGGAGTATGAGTGGTGCAGCACCACTTCTCTGCCAGCGAAAACGGTTTGCCTGGGTCCAAAGAAGCAAAGCCGCAATCCCAACTCTCGAGTGCCTGCTGCGATGACAACGGTTTGCCTTGATGTCGGAATCTCGCACATACCCAGTTCCTGAGCCAGAGCCGATGAACGCGTCAAAAGACTCCGGCTAAGGAGGCTAAGGAGCAGCTAGACTCTGGACCTAGGCTCCCAGACCAAGAGTCCTAGAGTCCTAAAGCTTTAGCGTATTCTCGCTGCCAGATCTTGCTTCAACGTCTATGCACCGCCGAGCACATGGACCGCACTTAGGATACCTCTGCACCCTAAAAGCAGACTCCAGCGTGCCACCGCCTTGCTGCCCAGGATCCTTCCCAGATGTGTTCCTGCAAAATTGCACATTTGTGCGACGCCTACCCTGCGATGGAAGCCACACTCTGCACAGTATCTGAGCAAAGCAGCCCCATAATGCGTCGCTGGTCACGCCGCATCGACTTTAGATCCCCCGGGCAGCTGTACCCCCCCGCCGCCTGCTGATATTCAAGCCTCTTGCCACCTACGCGGAGCCATGTCCAAGAACCGGAGCAGTAGGTGGAAGACTCAAGAGACGCGAGCATGTCACTAGCGCAGGCAGCATGCATGTTGTACTGTCCGACCGGGGAAACGCTGGGACACCCTCCCGCCCAAGGTACAATCATGATCTGTGGGTTGGAGTGGGTTGAGGTTGTCGGAGGCGAGCGGTGTCTTGATCGCTTTGGCTTTCCCTTTACATGCTGTGCATGTTCTTTCAGACATGAAATTATTCCAGCTCCGTTGAGTTTTGCTGCACCGCCTTACGGCATGTTTCTTTGAACCTTGCCTGTTCAGTCTAACTAGGAGCTTCTGCGTGAGCTTTCCGGGCCTTTTCGTGACTCGCCCTGTGCTTGGCTGTCTTCTGGGTCCTGCGGGACTTTTGTTGTTTCCTGTGGGGGTCTACAGCGCCAGCACTACTTAAGAAAACATTGGATTAAGAAAATGAGACTCTGGATTTTGCGATTGATAGGGCCCTACATAAAATATCAAGCACTGTTAAAATAAGAAAACCAGGGTACCCTCGTCCGCAAGTCTCATTTTCTTATTTCGTTCTGTCATTCTCGTGGTCTTTAGCTGGGTTCTGGAACGAAGGAGAATAAGAAAATGCAAGAGTCTCGTTTTCTTATTTAGGTGGGCTCTGGAACGAAGTAGAATAAGAAAATGCCAGAGTCTCGTATTCTTATTTAGGTGGGTTCTGGAACGAAGGAGAATAAGAAAATGCCAGAGTCTCGTTTTCTTATTTAGGTGGGTTCTGGAACGAAGGAGAATATGAAAATGCCAGAGTCTTGTTTTCTTATTTAGGTGGGCTCTGGAACGAAGGAAATAAGAAAATGCCAGAGTCTCGTTTTCTTATTTATGTAGGTGGGTTCTGGAACGAAGGAGAATAAGAAAATGCCAGAGTCTCGTTTTCTTATTTAGGTGGGTTCTGGAACGAAGGAGAATAAGAAAATGCCAGAATCTCGTTTTCTTATTTAGGTGGGTTCTGGAACGAAGGAGAATAAGAAAATGCCAGAATCTCGTTTTCTTATTTAGGTGGGTTCTGAAACGAAGGAGAATAAGAAAATGCCAGAGTCTGGTTTTCTTATTTAGGTGGGCTCTGGAACGAAGGAGAATAAGAAAATGCCAGAATCTCGTTTTCTTATTTAGGTGGGTTCTGGAACGAAGGAGAATAAGAAAATGCCAGAGTCTCGCTTTCTTATTTAGGTGGGTTCTGGAACGAATGAGAATAAGAACATGCCAGAGTCTCGTTTTCTTATTTAGGTGGGTTCTGGAACGAAGGAGAATAAGAAGATGCCAGAGTCTCGTTTTCTTATTTAGGGGGGTTCTGGAACGATGGTTGATCCTGGGGCCTCCATTGAGCCTGATACAGCCTGGTTTGGAGGAAAACTGCTTGAACGACTGTAGAGTGCTGCATTATGACTGTGTTTGAAGATTTATGGCTTAATTTCGAGATCTTGGGCCTGTTGGGTTTGATGTTTGGGGCAAGTCTTCGCTTGTTCATCTGGGGGTCTTGGGCCCTGGACATAGCTACATAAGAAAACGGCCTGAAGAAAACCAGACTACCCTGACTCATCCCAGAATATATATTCCCATAAAACCAGCCGCTATCAAAATAAGAAAACCAGACTACCCTCGTCCCAGAAAGCATTTTCTTATACAGCGGTTTTGCTGTAGTCTGCTGCTGGTGATGCTTTGAAGGTGCTTTGCCCGCCGGATGGATAGGATGCTGGCCCGCTTACACGAGGCGATGGTATGCTTAGTACGTACCCTCGTCGTTCTTGCAAGGCTGGCGAGCTCTTTGACATGTCGAGCTCAGTGGGACAGTCATGATGGGCAGACCATGTTCGCCCCAGCCTCGTGTGGACATCACTTCACTTCCTTTGGGTTGCTTTACGTTGATGAAAGCCGAAAGCCGTTGTCAGATAATCTGCTCGCTCCCGTTGCGGTTGCTCACTGTAGCCTCGTACCGTGCGACAATATGTTCCGTCCTGGGCGGCCAAAAACTTTGACGAGCCGGAAACTGAGAAAGCATGCGCGGCGGCAGCAACCGTCGACAGAGAAACTGACTCACCAAATCGCCGGCACGGTGGAACAAAAGGCAGCCTGCCGTTGTCATTCCCAGCCCTCCCTCCTGCGGCCTGCCGGAAACAACCATGCAATTTCCTTGTTAGGCGACGTTCCCGTTATGTCATCAGACTTCTCGCGCTTGACATCAGCTAGCACTCGGAATGAACATGAACAACCGTCGTTGGTTGTGGGGAGGTGTTGCGTCGAGAGATAATGCTGCCTCTTGGATTCTGGATCCACGGTGAACAGCCCATTCTTGCCCAGACCCATATGGGAGCCCTGATTTTCCCAGCCCTTCCTTCTAATCCAGCCATGCTGCATGCGGGTTTTGTTGCCTGTCCGCCATGCGGCCCCTTCGGTCGCGAAGCCCCTCAGCCAGACGTCTGGCTGTGTGCCGCGACTACCCTGCGGACGAACAGCTGTCGCCTGCTCGGTAAGTCGGTCCATATGTACGAATTATGATATACATCCCAGGATATCCCAGGCTCCCTCCCATCAGTTCAAAATATTGGGCGCCCCATCAGCCACATAAGTTCTGCATAGTCCTGACATAGTGTTCATCTAACCACTAAAAGAGGAGTCTTTTTCATCCCAAAGTCAGACTAAATCATAATAACTGGAACCTTCCAGGCACCTATTTTTTTAGTTTCAATATACATATCATGTTGAATGAATATTAGCTTAAAAGTTTTAATATAGAACAGTCATTTATTAAATGGCAACCTCGTCTAATCTAGTCAAGTTCATGTCCATGCGGTATGTTGTGTATGCTGAAAGCTCGTTCAGCTTTCCACCTGTATATTGCTTCGGTCGAAGCTTACTTGCACATAAAGACTGCCCGCACACACCCCGATCTCCCCACAGGCCCCCGCACCCCACTCACCCACCAACAAAAAGGTGAAAGCATCAAACATGTCAATAAATACCCCTCCGTTGCTAAGCAGCCAGGGCCATCGCGTGTCGTCTCTCTGGTGACATTGCTAGATATCCGCCCGAATGGGTGCCTGCACTCCGTGAAGAACTACTTTGGACAGCCCTCAGCCTTGCTTGGCGTGGTGTCTCCGTCTACTTCATGGCACTGTGGACTGAGCTTCTTGATTCGCACTTCGTCCAAACATGGGAGCATGTGGAGTCTCAGTGCTCACTGCAGACGTGCTCTCATCGGGTCCTCCAAAAATGCACGGGAGTTCACATTGAAATCCCCGCAGAGAATGACTCCTGGCGGCTTGGTTCCACGAGTTCGTCTCAAGTGTCACAAATCATGTGCCCGAGAACAGCATTGGATACTCCCGTTGCATCCTGCAGGCACATGCTGCTTCAAGTCGAGTAACAGTTCAAAGGCAAAGGCAGAAGCTCTGCCGCATTTCCGACAAGCAGCTTTGGACCAGAGCCGACCATGACGCGAAAACCAGAAACCCCACCTAGAAGTTCCCTCGCTGCCGCCTGTGCCGGGATCTGCCCACACTTTCATGAGATCTGCAATCGTCACTAGCTCCTGTTGAGATGATCGGTGGACGGGTCGGAAGCACGGCCAGAAGCACTCATCGCAAAATCTAGAACGACTGAATTGTGCTGTGTACCAGAACTATAACTGCTGAGACCTTTTCAACTGGGATTGCTAAGGCCTCTGAAGCGAGGCGAACCTTCTCCAGGCAAGCATAAATTTCGTAAGGTGTGCATCGGAGCTCGATTGCTTCGTCCGACTCAAATGACTATGACTACAACTTGAAAAAAAACACTTTGCAGTGAAAGCCACGAAGAGTGTCTGATTCTCTTGGGGGCCTACCTACAGGGACCCATAGTGTGCGGAAACTCATTATGCATATGCTGCACATACAAGTACACGTCACGAAATACAAGTCGGGGCCAAATCTGCTCTTTCAGCTAAACACCCGGCTTCGGCAAGGTGATCCCAGCTCTCCTGGCCTGACGACGAATCGAGCCCTCTTTGTCGCGTGAACCTGTCATCAGGTGAATGCCACCTTGGCGGAGCTTTCTTTTGGCGATGCATGGGTCTTAGGAACAAGTCATGCTGAAGGCGAGCACAGGCTCGTGAGACCGTGGCACCTGGACCTGACAGCCAAGTGGCACAAAAGAGTGGGCAGCTCATCTACAGTCAGCTTGACAAAGCCAGCCAGTCGCCTGTCCTGAGCACGATACCAAGTTCTGCAAGGCGCAGTTCGAGCGACTGAGAAAGATGGCTCAGGCTTGTGGTCCCAGCAGAAGTGGAAGCCGCAACTGCTAAGCAAGGCCAACGCCACTGCGGGCTGACGACAGACAGACAGAACCCAAGAACGTGGTGCAATTCAGCGTCCATGTCCCTGAGCCCCGCTTCTTTCAGGTCGACGTTGGCATAAGAGCCTCACGCCGCCAATGTGAAATTCGTTACAACTGTAACAGATGTCTGTTGAATCCCGTGGTTCTGCTTACATCAACCTGGGCCATCTCATGCGCGAAGGTGCAGGTCTGACTTCATGTGCTGAGGCAGGGCCTACGATACTTCGGGTGGCAACCCGGAAAGGGGTGAGGAGCTTTGGCATTTGGGGTGCTGCATCCTGTTCGGCTCCTGAACTCGATGGCTCTCCGCCAGGGCTGCGCTGCAACGAGTGAACACACAGGCGGCCTGTCTCCATACCACATGGCACGACGTGGTCCTCCCAAAATCTGAAGTGAGGCGGGGTCTTGCTAGGACTAGGATCGGCTTGTAAAAGTTGTTGGTTCGGGATTGTGTGTGGAATCTGGCAAAGCTTCGGGATTGGCTCTGGATTGAGCGGTCCTGTTTTAGATCGGCCGGGGTCTTGTCCAAAGGCGCATGTTCAGTGCTTCCACAACGTTGCAACACGCAGACAAAGCTGCTTTTCCACCCAATCCACACTGCTCCGCTCCTTTGGAAAGTTGTCCACCATGGATGCACGCTCGCGCTGCCAGAAAAGGCCAACTCCAACCTTCTCCTGGAAGAACTTCAAAAGGGACCGAACAGTGCCTCACAGGCCTCTGCCGGTCTGCCTGGCCGGGGCCGAGGAAGAGCGCGCCCTCATAGCCCCTGGCCTGAAATGGGAGTTGCCCTCATGCAAGTGTTCTCAACCGCTCACACGGTGTAAGAATGCTAGGCCGCTAGGCTGCTGACCTCGAGAGCGTCCCGGAAGGAGCGGTGAGGCCCAGTGGGAAGCTCCTGCGAGGCGGCGCAGCAGCATCGCGTAACGACGTAGCGGCGTAGAGTAGCCAGATGCACAAAGCAAAGAAGCAGATCTTGCGAAGATCTCAGCGGAGTTTTGGGCTCACCGGAAACTGCAGGTCGGAGCGACCGCCATTGTCAAACGCATTCCTGCGAGGAGGCACGCTCCAAATGTCGACCTGGAACCACCACAGCCAGGCTGCCCAAGTTTGCCTTCGAAAAACCGTTCTTTCACGAGGATCGTTAGGCACGCGAATTGAATTGGCAAGCGATTAAAGCGATGAATCAACTCCAAACTTCTGCAGCCTGTCAAAACATAGAAGACAGACAGTGCTCGGGGCTGGCCAAGCGCACCGCATAGACGACACATGATGTCAAAGGACGAAGGCTGCGGAGGTGCACTTGGCCCAGAAGCATCCGCAGCTAATCGTCCAAGAGCAGACGACATGCTTTGCATGTCCTCAAACACTTGTACTTAAACTCATCTACTGTGCAAAGACCGACAGCTTTGGCCTCAGAACATGTGGAAACCTGGGAACAAGGCCGAAAATTAACGGTAAACTTGGGCATGCACGACTAAACTCTTGGTGGTCACACAATGCCAACCAGCAACGTTCTGTATCGGAGTTGACAATCCAACATCACGACACGATGCATGGCACTCGGGATTGCACCCGTTCTGCGAGGGTGTGATGTGGCTAGCATGAGAAGCGTTGGTGCATCCACAGCTTTGCGGGCAAATGCGTGCCAACGGTGCTATCACGTCGTCGATGCCTGAGCACGGTAGACCACTAGAAGCTGCATCACGATCTTCTTCTGCTTCACTTGATTGCCGATGCTGAAGTCATTACACTGTCTGACGCTTTCGATCGCTTTCTTTTGACAGCCAGAGGGAACCATGCTTGTGTAAGTTGTGAGTTCCAATCTAGACAGGGATACGTAAAAGTGCAGGTGACACGCTTTCTCGGAGTATACTCATGACAGCGGCAAGAGGCCGACAAGATGCTGGGTACAAGTAGAGTCATAAGAGTGCCAGTACGCAGGGGAAGACTGCATGTAGGCAGCAGCTTAAGTTGTTTCCTGCAACTTGGACTGGCAACTCCACCGTCCACTAGAAGCCCTCGACCAGAAACGGGCTTCTTCGCTGCAGAACTGGCCCAAGCATGCTGGCAATGGGTACACAAGAGTGCGTAGCTGCATCACGTGTCCGAGCATATGCTATAGAAGCACCACGTGAAAGAGTCTTCGCTATGCGCTCGTACTTGTAAGCACGTGTGCCGGGTAGCTCCGACATTTAATCATCCCACCAGCCTACTACATACTGGCCGCGATGCCATCGCACCAGCGCTGCTGTGTCACTGCTTCCTTGGCCAGTTCCGGATGGAGAGCCAACGCGGCACATCCAAACTCCTGCATGGCTCCGATCATTTGCAGAACCCACCTCGGCTGCAAACTGCAAATCCGAGCAGTTGCTGCACATGATTGTCTTCTACTTGTGTTGGTCCTTCTCAAGGCTTGCTGCAATCACATCCCCCGCGGCTTTAATGTAAGCTTCAGTTGTATGCACAAATCCCTTGAAGGTCTCAGCTATGAACAACCAAGAACCTGTCGCGAACTCAACAAGAAAAAGTGGATCGGGCCTTTGCTGCAGGTCTCTCACAGCAAAGAGCTGCAAGCAACGAAATACCCAACACCGAAAACTCTAGTTCGCCACCAAAGGCACTGACCCAAGGTCGAGTTGTAGTCTAGCGTCACACCCATCTCGCTGCCGAGCACTGTAGGATAACCATCCCAAAATTGCTTCCACATTGCTCCATTCTCGATGTCCTCGCACACTGGCTGCTCTGGGCTGGCCGCATTTGACAAGCAGTTCCTGCTGCAGCCCTTGTGCAGCACCTTGTAAACCGGGTAACTTCGTGGATCCGCGCATCCACAAGTGACACCACAAACCTGCCGGAGCATACGCGCCTCGGCATCGTTGCAATGACTGGCCATGTCCAGGCAGGTGCTGTTGCGCGGCTCGTTGAGAACCGCGGCAGCAGACCAAAAATAGGGCCTGTACAGGTCCACGAACTCGTTCGTAATTTCTTGGTCTGTTTGGCCCTGAATGTACAGCGCGTCCAGATCCTTGCAGTAGGCAAATTCTGTGGCTGATTCTTCCATGGTCTGATACACCATACTGTCGAAGCGCTGAACGTCACTCTGAAAACTGATGTAGTCTGCCGTCATCGACGGCTCTTTGGAAAGGTACTTCTCTACCGCCAGCTGACTCAACGTTCTGCCAGAAACATTGGCGTGCCTCGATTCGTTGCAGAACACTCTCAAGAGAAACACGAGACTTGCCCGGAATTCAGAAAAAACAAAAGCGACTCGTTGCGCCATCGCCGACGGAATCGTCTGCATGCCAAAGACGAGCTGGATGTCTTCATTCATTCCTACCACGAAGTCCTGGTTCCCAAAGCAGTAGGCTCGCTTGACCTGCATATTTTGCACACTTGCCCGAAGACCACGAACAAAGTCGCAGGGTGAGGCTACACAGATTCCCTATTCTTACGGCACCTAGCTTCACAAACCCTGCGGACACAAGCTGCATCGCAAAGCTGGATCGTGAGACATGCAGCCTAGAGTCCTAAAAAAAGGCCAGCGAAAACCTCGTTCCTGCTCCATCCTGCTCCTTCCAAGTGCCCGCGCGCGAAAAAAAATCGACGGGACAAGGATCAGCAAACATACTTTAGCACTTTAACCTTACCGCTGAACAGAAACATCGGCAACTTTGTAATGCCGGGTCGCTGTTTCCATGTCCTGCGCGAGTGGATTGACGATGTGGACATATGCCCATGCCAGGATGCCTCCCAAGGCCAGCATGATGCAGACCGCCTCCACCTTCCAAGTTCAAGCTGCTAAGGGGCGCTTTGCAGAATGCAGAGGGATCCAAACTTTGAAGATCGAGCCGTGCCGAGTGTCGCGATTAGCTTCAAAGTTCGGTAAGGCATACAGTAAAACGCTGAGGTCACCCAAACAAAAGCTCAGCCTTGGCCCTGAAACCTGACAACGCTTTTCACTCGGGAATGCTTAAATCGATTTTTGTGCTTAGATTGGGGTCCGGGTGTCAATGCTTCAATTGTACGTGCTCGGTTCGAGGCCGGTGCTCGACTCGCGATTTAACACAGAGCTCAATGGCCTGGCTGCGGCAGCGGCTGTACCTGATCTTGATGGCCTGGACTGCCAGTCAAGTTTGGTCTCAGCTATCCTAGTCGGATCAGTCCATGAGGTTGTGAAGATTAACAAGCCTACATCCGATGGACACACTGTAGTTTGGAAATGCTACCAACATCGAATGCCTCAAGGTCTTGGATCTTGATCTGGAGCTTCTTGGGCATCAGCGCGGCAAAGACCATCTCCTAGTCAAAGCTCTTGCGGGAGAGTCTTGGGTCTGCCTCCTAATGCGGGGCTTCAGCACCAACTCGCCAACGAACTGCCAAGTACAGCCAAGCATCATCGACGCTCAGCACTGCACCCAAAGCAACCGCATTTACTATGAGGTCGCTGATTGATGTCGTTGCCCCTAGCCACAATATGCCTGCGTACCTGGTGTTTGCCAGAGTCACACGAATTTTCCTTGTGCTACTTGCTTGCTTACTCTGCTACTACTTTGCATAGAACCGATGTTTTGGATGTAAGCACGGAAAGTCTGATGAAAGTGTGCAAGTTACAGCATGGCTCCGCTGATGGTTGCCCGACCCAAGCGCAGGAAGAAGTAGGCACAAAAACGTGGCCATGACATAGCCCTGAAGCGCCCGTCGCGCAAGTCAGTCCTCCCAAAGGCTTGAAGGACAGAGGCCAGAGCAACCAGAAAGGGCTGTCGCGGCGCTTGCGAGACCCTGTTGAGCCTTTACAAATTGGTACTGGCGGCCTCTGCACTCCCAGAAACATCCTCCTTTTCTCTCCGCACCACTTCATCCCGAGCCATGACGCAACACGATGCCACAGTTTGCAGTTTGCACTCATAAGCTGCCTACAATTGCGGCAAATACCTGACCTGGGGTGACTTCTGAGAGTCTAAAGTGGAAATTAGGTTGGCGAGGAGAGTAAACATTCGGGACATTTCAAGACAACGGCCGCAATGAAGTCCTGCATGAACATTCGGTCGCCTCAGCTCCCTAGGCGAAACCCGGGGTGGGAGTCTTCTTTCTGATTGGTCCAGAAGGCCACAACCACCACCCAAAGTGCCTCACTGCCCTTTTCAGCTCCTGCGCTTGAGTGGTAGCTGGGCCACTGCTTCCAGTGAAAGCCATATGGTGCGGAATTCCTTGGATACGTACCTTGGATGTCACAGCGGAACAATCCGTCAAACCAAGTTCTTGCTCTCGTGACTTGAGCCAGGTCGAGCCAGGGCCAGGCCACAGGCACCAGAGGAGGATGCAGAGCATGGCCAGCAACACACCCGTTCGAGAGGCATCCTCTTGGTCAAAATCCGTAGACTTCCTTACAGCTGCACATGCTGCACGTCTGCTGGTGTATTATGTGATGAGCATGCACGATTGAAGCTGAAATTGGCGATGCAGAGTTTCCTTCACAGTCCTAGCAACTTCTGTCCACTACACAAATCCATGCCGACCATAGCATCCCACACAGAGAAAGCTGGAATATACTTCGCACCATCAAGAATCAATTCAAACTGAAGCGTTGTAACTAGATAACTTGAACTTCGATGGGCATGACACTCAGGACACAGGGCTGCACCGAGAAGGCGAGATGCTGATATCCCAGGAACGAATTGATCTGCCGTATCAGCGAGGCCTGTTGTAGAAGCGTGCAAGGTCGGGGCGGGAAGGAACGCCAACGGAGCAACATGGCGAAGGTAAGCATGAAGGATGCTGGTCACAGAATGGCCCAAACTGTAGTACTATAGTAAGAACCAGCTTTCGCATGCTCGGTCCGGAAGTGGCTGGCTCACTGATGCAGCCTGATCCGTGGAAATGATGAGAGCACCATCGTCGTTGCAGACCCGGCTGATGAGACTCGTCCGTGCAAGGTCCACATGCCTCAAGAAATTCAGACGATTTTCCTTGTACATAATCGCTTCCCTCAAGATTAGCCGATTAGCCTCCTCCCCAATACGGAAAATTGTTCGACTGTTTATGTGATGGTTTCGGGCAGGGCCGTAACTGGAACCAACAAAAGCAGAGGCCCAACCAGGAATGTATCAGTTCGGAGCATCCAGGGAAGACAAACTTAATCCCAGCAAGCTGCATTGCATCGTGTGCCACGCTTCTCCTCCAGGCCGTGGCAATATCGATCCTCAACTGCGAGCAGGTTGCCCGGTTCTTCGGATCACCATTGACTGTCAAGTTCAGTCTCGTTGTGCCTGATCACCTGGCAACTATGTAGACGTTGCACATGACTTTCATGCACCACGGTTCTGATCTGCCTGACATAAGTCAACCTAGCAAACCATAAACTGAACGACAAAGGATGTGGCCATGTAGCAACAGCACTGAAAGGAAAAGGCTCTGCAGGCTGAAGGGATCACCCTGGAATTCCGGACTCCTCGGCGAATCCACACGGCTTATGATGCTTGTTCGGACTGGAAACGCCATTGAGATGGCAGCAACCATGCCATGAACTCAGATATAACATACTTTCGGTTCACTATCACAAAACACAACAACATTGTGAGTGGGTCATGGAAGCATAGAAATGTTTGTTACATACACCCGAACTTCATTCAGCATATTCGTTTTTTGCTGTTGACGGAAGAAGACATTGCGTAGAAACGGTGCCTTCACGCTACCTAAATGATTTCCCACACGGAAGCATGTCGACAAATCTGAACACATCGAAGACTTCGGCATCTGTTGGGTTTTGGGGATATCGTGCTGAAGGGATTTTTGGTGGGTTGTCAATCTTCTTAGTAGTTTACGGTTGTTGCGAGTCTCGATCATCACCATCAGCAGCAACCTCATCGACACTATCATCAGTATGATGCTGGTCATCATCATCACCATCATCACGGATACTGTCATCATCATCACCACCACCCCCATCACCATCATCCTCATCATCATCCTCTTTATGATGTTTATCATGACTGCCATCATCATGGGTCCCGGATCAAAAAATCAATCAGGATCAAAAAATAATCACCCACGGATCAAACAAAAACTTAAACGGTCAGAAAAAATAAATCCCCGTCCTGTTATATGCAGTAGATGCCGCTTCTCCGTCCTACAATAATTACACAGGATGCTCGCGGCGCGCGACTGCCGCTGCGCATAGTTGTCCCGTATGTCCTATCATTTGCAGAGGATTCGTCTGCCGCGCGCGTTCGAGGCCGAGATTCCTGCCCGAAACGCGCCAAAATTTTGCGGACAGTACTTTCGTGAAGGTCCTCCAGCTGCCAGTACTTGCTGGGAAGCGACTCCGTCGTGCTCTCCACTGTGTCTGAATCCCGCCAAGATTTGGGTGGCAAGGTTTTCGAGGCCTGCTTGTCAATTCGCCAGTACTTGGCAGAAGCATTTCAGTAGTTTTCTGCTGCGATGGTCTCCTGCTTGTCACGTACGTACTGATTTTTGGCGGTCTCCTGGCCATGGTCGCTGTCGTCATGCTCGGTGCGGTCGTCCTTGCTGAATGGAAACATGGCACGAACGCTGGAAAACACAGATAGCAACTAGTTAACTAGTTGCTAAGGTTTTTCCCAAGCAATGCAAGCCTTTTCGCATGCGCCAGTGCTAGTATTGGCATACTTTTGCTGTCGTCATTCACTCTTTCGGGCTTAGGGATCTAATCTTCAAGCAAGGTCTGCGAACCCAGGCGCTGAGGCATGGAATGCTTACAAATCGGACCATGATGACAAAGGTTGGGTTCTGTGCAGAAAGTGACACAAACGCCTTCCGTTTACGGGGCGCGCTACCGCGCCGGCGCTGGTGCTGGAGTAGAAGTACTACTCATACTAAATGTAACCGTGACAATAATATTAATATCAATGTTAAGAGTAGTAGTAGTAGTAGTAGTAGTAGTAGTAGTAGTAGTAGTAGTAGTAGTAGCAGTAGTAGTAGTAGTAGTGGTAGTAGTAGTAGTAGTAGTAGTAGTAGTTATTGTTGTTGTTGTCGTTGTTGTTGTTGTTGTTGTAAAAATAGTATGAGTAATAGCAGTAGTAATAATTATTAAGGTAATAGTAACTATAGGAAAAGTAATAGTAATAGTAACCGTATTTATTCAGCACGCAGCGGAATCCGTCCACCTAGCGAGTTGCACAGCAGTTGCTGGAGCTTCAAGAGCTCAGTACTGTGCTCTAGAGCCGCAGTACTTGCAGGAACAGTCCAAAGCGCTTATGGCTGTGGACATAAAGCTATACTAATCAAGGTTGCTGCTGAAACGAGACGTCGTGGAGACCTGGCCAGCAGCTCTGAGTGCAATCAAGCGTAACCGACGAGCGCCGTCAGTTGGAGAAGCAAGCATTGAGGCTTGATTTTGACTCCGCCAGTGCACGGCTTCATGTGTGATGCTACTGCCTGAGGCTTGCCTGAGCATACATTCATAGAGCATTGTGCGGACAGCATAGTGGTAGCAGAGGGAGTGCCCGTCAGGGTCCACCCCAGGCAGTGTCACAGTCATGCCTAATGAAGGAGGTGGCCGAATGAACGGCTCATGGACATCTGTGTTCCCCTGTAGGCAGATGCACGGTTTGTCTAGGAGTCTAGGCTCACATACACAGTTTCAATCAATGAGCACAGACAGGGCCTGCCAATGCCCGAACCCCAGGCATCCAAGTGATCCTGCAGCGTTCTGTCATCCGATCGCGGCTGCAAAGGAAGGACCAGCACACGTGATGTGGGAGACGCTTGAGGACTGGTGTCATCAGGTTCTAGATGCAAACCCCGTATACCTGCACATGTCACCGGCTGGAAAGAGTGAAGGATTATGCGAAGCAGATCAGCAGGAGCTAACGCCTTTGAAAATCGCCACTGTGAAACAATTGGCATCCAAAAGAGGTCACCTCGTAGATGCAACATGGAGTTGGGTGCATGCATAATGCGCTTCCATAAATGCTTGACGGCGCCTGGCACAGTGTCACTGCGCGTAGGATCGATCCATAGCGGCCACAGCAGACATTGCAGCACCTGCGAAAGACCAGGTGGGCCATCAGCAATACCCCACGCATGTAGCTCAAAAGACTTGGTTTTGTCAGTGGCTGGCCTAACATGGGATAACGGAACGGCAGGGAAGGCGGCATGGCTTACCACCGAAGTGCACGGGCCTGTTGAGACAGGCCCCCTCTCTCGCGACGGAGGCGACATCCCAGGGTGTGAAAGGCCGCACACCCTATCCAAGATTGGACTATGTCCCAAGCACGAATGCCGTTTCCCCCCACACTGATCTCCAGTGCAAGCTGGACCCAGGCAGTTTGGGGAGCTTTGCTGAGCCCCCGCAAGGACTGGAATCTGAAGATCGTGTCCTGATCTGCCAGTTTCCTTAGCTCCACCGTCTCCTTGATGAGATTCTCCGTGGTTGGCATACCATCCAAACCATGGGTAAAACGGCAGAAAACAGGACCAGCATCTGGCCTGCTCTTTTGGGCATGCGTTTGAGACTCATGTGAGCGACATAGCGCGTGTGAAGGAAAGTGCATGTCACAAAAGCTACACTTATAAACAAGATCCTGTGGAGGCACCTCCATGGGAGTCAGGGACGTGCCCAGACTCACAGGTCCATATAAGGAGTCTGGCAGATGTTGCGCGTACTGAACCAGGGAGTCGGTGGCAAGCACAGAGTCCTGTTTGACAGCCCCAAGGACATTACCAAGCAGTCGATGCATCTCCTTGAGCAGAGTATCAGCAACATCTGGGACACGTGCTTTGTGAAGGACCTGCCGATTAGAGACATGGCTAAGGTGAGCGGGACATCTCAAGATGGTAGATGTGGTTCGAAGCTTGGCAAGCCCACCTGAGGGGAGACCTGCTGCCGCCAGGCCATAGAGCATCGTGGCAGGTACACTGGCACGCCATATCCGAATGCGATCACTGAGGAATAGACCATGCCTGGAACAAACTGTACTTTGCGTAGTCGAGTCCATTCCACCTGTGCAAGCTGCAGACGATATTGTAACGTTTGGGTACTGGGATCATGGTAACTGATGCGCGTGCCCAAGTAGGTATGCGTCTGCACAATGGGAAATTCGAAGAGAAGACCTGCGGGAGTGCGGATGCGGAAGAGGATGCCATCAGGGGTATGCCTGGTATGATGTCGCAACCAGCCTCGGGCAAAGGCACCCTTAAAGCGGTAGAGGATCGCCGACTTGAGGGCATTAACATGAAGTCCAGCCTTGGTAAGGACATCCAGGAGGCATCCCAGTCTCTGCACAAGCTGGCCCAGGCCTTTGGTGTCCAAGACCTGACTGCCCGCATGAAAATCATCTGCGTAGGCAGTGACATCCCTGGCGACCCAGAGCGGATCAGTGTCCAGTGCCAGTAGATACAGAAACCTACCCGTCACCAGGGCCCAGACCAGTGGGGCAACAAGGCATCCTTGCTTGATGCCACGAGACGCTTCAATCTCAAGAGTTTGCCCCTGGACATTAAAATGATAGCGGATGTCCTTGTGCCAAGCCATGATGTGAGCCTGGAGCTCTGCCGGAATGTCAGCATCCTCCAAGGCTACGGCTATATGCTGCCATTCAAGAGTGTCAAAGGCAGCACTCAAATCCAGTGACAGCTGCAATCCGCCTGCCTGGGAGCAGGGTCTCGGCAAGCCTGCGCGAGCCTCACGAACTGCAGTGCGCCTGCACCCGGAGAGCAGCGTCCATCGCGCCCCTACCAGGAATGTATGCCCACTGTGGCAAGTCTGTGAGGTAAGCTTCCACGTATGGACGTAAGCGGTCCTGAAGCACTTTGCCCACAATGCGAGAGGAGCCTTCGCTCAGACCTATGGGGAGCAAATGCTTTGGCAAAGTTGGCTGACTGATCTTGGGCAACAAGGCCCCACCATGCCGACCGCCACAGAGTCGCCGGCTCATCCATCTGATTGGAGAGCCGAAGCAGATGAGGCACTACCTCGCCAGTGCAAAGTTTCCAGGCCGCAAGCGGTGCCAGATGAGGAGCAGCTTTATGGGCTCTGAGGGAACCAAGGGCACGACGAATCTCCACCTCTTGGAGCAGAAGAGACGGCATCTGGGTAGTTCGAGGCGGGTCAGCCAAAGTGCCAGCATAGACCTGGCGGTAGTGCTGGGCAAGAAGCTGTACCTGCTGAGACGGTGACAACAACTGCCCAGTGGGACTGCGAAGTTGGACTGCCGTCCGCTTGGATTTGGGAGCCAGACCACGAACACCCTGAAACAGGGATCTGGTATCTTGCTTCTGGGCATGCAGTTGCAGTTCATCAAGGCGACCTTGGAACCAGAGTCGCTTGGCCTTACGGAGGTCACGATGGGCACGCTTGAATCTGACATAGTGAGCCCAAGCCTGCCAGACGGTCCGGCCAGTACTGTCCCCAGGCCTTGTAGTGTTGCCACATGAGCTTCACACCAATCTGCATGGAGGGTGTCTGCCAGG